ACTGACACTTTTGAACACTAAATATTGAAGTATTCTTTACATTCCAGTACTCACTTTGAATAATTCTGATATAGGTGGTCTGCAAACCACACTTTGAGAAACAAGAATAGCCATGTAAGCCCTGGCTGGTGTGGCTTAGTGGATTGAGTGCTGGCCTGCGAACCAAAATGTCACAGGTTCAATTCCCAATCAGGGCACGTGCCTGAGTTTTGGGCCAGGTTGATGTATCTTTTGAACATGGATGCTTCTCTCCCTCTCTTTCTCCCTCCCTTCCCATCTCTCTAGAATAAATAAATAAATAAATAATTTTTTTAAGAAAAAATGCCCACGTGAGAGTTCTCAAAGTGGTAACTGTCACCCATCTCAGGACAAGATTTTACACAATGCACAGAACCCCCTCCCCCAGGAAAAGTGGCACTGTGGACCTTTCTCCGTGGTCACTTGCATTCGTGGCAGAACCATGCTCCACTGGATGAGTCGCCGTAGGAATCAACTCCTGAGGTGGTTTTCTAGATTCATCATAGGTCCCGGATGTTTCATAGTAATCGTCCTTTTCAACTCCTTTTATTGTTTCTTCACACTCAGAACTATAGGGTAACTCGTGTTTTATAACGTTAAAACACGACAAATATTTTCATTTAAATGTCATTAAGGCTGTTGGCATGGTTTATTTATTATGCGGGATTTTGTTACGGGTTTTGAAGTCCAGGGCGAACTTCCCCCTCCCCCTCATTTGTTACATTTACAGTAGGCCTCTCTTCTGCGTGTCTGTAAGTGGTAGTTCTGGGGTCCTCATGACCACGTTGGTTCCACAGATTTTTACTGTGTAGACTCTACTAGAAGTGGGCACTTCCTTTCTAGCTGGTCCATATCACACTCATTTATTTATAATTGTCTCTTGTGTGGATTCTCTGATGAGTGTGTTGCAAAGCCTGAAAGGAACATTTATTGCACTCATCTCATTTATAGGGTCTCTCTCCCCTCATGAATGCCAAGTTCTGCACCCTAAGGAAGACGCCTACTACACTCACCACAGTCACATGCGTTCTGTCCTGAACGGAGGGTATAATGAAGGACAAGAGTGGAGCACCCAGTGAAGCCCTTACTGTGCTCACCATACAGATACGGTTTCTCTCCTGTGTGGACTCTGATGAACTCAAAGGTCCACAGCTCTACAATAACTCTTACCAACCTTCCTTCATGTATAGGGTTTCTCTTCTGCATGGACACTTTCATGATTGCAAATATTCTTGTGCTGCCTGATACCCATGACCCCACACTTGTAAGGCCCTTCTACTCTATCAATTCCAGGATGAATTCTGATTAAGCTCTTAAGACATTCTTTACATACACAGCCCTGTGTGGGTTGTCTGATGAACTCAAAGATTCATACTCTTGATGAAGCCCTCGCCGTATTCAAACATGTACTGCACAGAGATACATTGGTGGAGATTCAGGGTGGGTAGAGATGTATTTGCTTATTGTCTAGTCAGTGCACATGAAGACTCTTCATGGTGCCCAAGCACCATCTCCTCCTCTTCGGGTTAAGCAACCATTTCTGTTCTGTGCTTTTGTCAAATGCACACCATTCCTGGCTAATCTATAGTCAGCCTCTCTCCATAGCGTCTAACTCTGGAAACCACTGATCTGTTCTCTACTGCATTTGTGCATGTTCCAGAATGTCATATAAATGGAATCTAATGGAATGTAATCTTTGCAGACTGAGTTCTTTCACTGAGTATAACATGTTTGAGTTTCATTCATGCTGTTGCATGCATCGGTCATTCATTCCCTTTATTCCTTTTGGTGGGTGCAATTTGTTTATTGATTTACCCACTGATGGACATTTGGGTTGGTTCCAGAGTTGGGTAGTTATGAATAATGCTGCTATAAACATTTGTGAACAGGTTTGTGTGTGATTTTAAGTCTTCATTTTTCTAGGATAAATATCTATAGGTGGAATTGCTGGGTCAAATGGTGTTTAACTTTCTAAGAAACTGCCAGACTGTTTTCTAGAATGGCTGTAACATTTTGCATTTTCACCAGCAATGTATGTGAGCTCCTGTTGCTTTGCACCCTTGCTAATATTTGGTGTGGTCAGAATTCTAAAAATGTAGTTCATCTAAAAAGGGCATGTGGTAGGAAGCCTCTGACATGGCCTCCCATGATGCCTCCAGGTAACCACACCCTTGGATAATCAATCCTCTTGAGTGTGGGCTGGACCAAACAACTTAATTCTAACAACGAGAGTAAGAAATACTAGCAATTCAGCCCTTTCAGCCCTCAGGTGACTGAATCCAGCCAATAAGCATTCTTGGAAGTGGATCTTCCCCAGTGAGCCTTCATTTGAGAGTGCAACCCCACTCACTCCTTGATTTTCCATGCTGTTCCATTATTTTGTTATCCATATGCCTGTATGACACTGTCTTGACTACTTGAGATTATCTTAAAATCAGATATGAGTTCTCCCTCTTTGGTTTGTTTTTTTTCTTCTAAAAATTATCTTTAGTCTAGTTTCTTTACCTTTACATATAAAATTTTACTTTGGAATTGCATTAAAATCTGTATATCAAGTTGGGCAGAACTGACATCTTAATCATATTGAGTCCTTCAATCCACAAGCATGGTATGTCTCTTCGTTCGGTCAGTTCTTCTCTCAGCTCTTTCATAAGCGCTTCGTAGTGAACATACAGAACCTGCACCTATTTTGTTGTGGTTATACTTCATTTCTCTTTCTTTTTTGGTGCTATTCCAAACAGTGCTGTTTTTTAAATTTTCGTCCCCAAATCTCCATTGCTAATATGTATAAATACAGTAGATTTAGCATATTGTATCTTGTACCTTCCAACTTTGCTAAGCTTATTAGTTCTAGGAGCAATTTTAATAAATTTTAAAATAGGTTCTTTGGGATTTTCTACATAGACCATTTATATCATCTGTGAATACTCTTGACATCTTCCTTTTCAACCAGAATGCCTTTTATTTTTCTTTAGCCTCACTGGACTTGCTAGATCTTCCAGAGCCATGTCCACTGGGAGCAGTGACAGTAGACACTCTTGCCTTAGGTTCCAGTCTACACGGAAAGCACTCCATCGTTCAATGTCACCACGTATGACCTTAGCTGTACTTTTCTGATGATGACCTTCACTAGACTGAAGAAGTTCCCTTCTATTCCTAGTTTGCTGAGCTTTTATTATGAATGTATATTAAATTTTGTCAAGTGCTTTTTCTGTACCTATTGATATCATCATGTGGCTTTTCTTGTTAAGTATATTTCTGAAGAGAATTACCTTGATTTTCAAGCATTTGACTAGTTTTTGAATTCCTGGAATAAACACCATTCAGTTCTCCTGTGTTATCTTTTTATATATTGCTGAACTTGATTAGCTAATAGTTTGTTAAGGGGTTTTTGCATTTACGCTCATGGGAGATATTGGTCTGTAGTTTTCCTGTACTCTATCGAATCTTTATTTGAGGGCTCTGTTGACTTTTTTTTTAAGATTTCATTTATTTACTTAGAGAGAGGGAAAGGGAAGGAGAAAGAGAGGGAGAGAAACATCAATGTGTGGTTGCCTCTCATGTAGCCTCCACTGGGGACCTGGCCTGCAACTGAGGCATGTGCCCTGACTGGGAATCCAACTGGTGACTTTTTGGTTCACAGGCTGGCACTCAGTCCACTGAGCTACACCAGCCAGGGCTGTTGACCTTTTAAGGATGTTATATAAATGAAATACAGTATGTAATCTTTTAAAAATGACTTTTTTTTCACTTAGCACAATTTCTTTCAGATCCAAGCTTCTGTGTGGATCATTTGTTCCTTTTTACTTGCTGAATAGTATTCCATAACATGGAGGAACCACTGTTTAAGATTTCACTGACTGAAGGACACTGATATGGGAAGGTTCTAAGTTGGCTTAGTGTTTAGGCTATTCAGTTATGAGAGGGGGGGGATAGTTGATTATATTAGTGTGACAACAGTGGAGGGGTTAAGGAGTGATTGGATCCTGGATACGCTTTGAAAATGGAGCTGACAGGTTTGCTGAGGGACTGGTCTGGAGGTGAGAGAAAAGGAGGCAGGGATGACTCCAAGGTTTTTGGCCTAAGCAACTTGAAGAGTGGACTTTCCATTTCACTGCGAGGAAGAGAGAACTAGAGAAAAATCAGGTCTGGAAGGGGAAGAGGGAAAGTCAAAAGATGGTAACTCCTACTTTTTAGATAAGCAAATAAAAATATTAGGAGCAGTGAGACTGTGAAGAATTGGAATTCTCATAAGAATCTTAATTGAGCACCCTGGCTGGTGTAGCTCAGTGGATTGAGCGTGGGCCTGCGAACCAACAAACGCAGTTCGATTCCCAGTCAGGGCACATGCCTGGGTTGCAGGCCAGTTCCCAGCAGGGGATGCATGAGAGGCAACCATACGTTGATATTTCTCTCCCTGTCTTTCCCTTCCCCTCTAAAGATAAATAACTAAAATCTAAAAAAAAATGTAATTGACTCAAACGTCTCAAGGGGGCAATCTGACAGTAAACACATAGTCTCTGATCCACCAATTCCTCTTCTATAAATTTTTTCTATAGAAATGTTGGAACTAAAAATATCCAAAATTCCAAGCACAAGAACAGTTATTTCAGCATTATTTGTAACAGAGAAAAACTGGTATCTTAAATATCCATCAATAAAGTACTAATTAAAAATTAACTTTAGTACATCAATACATCATACAATGGAACGTGATGCAGCCACTAACAAGACTGAAATGGCTCTAAATAGTGAAGAAAAGATTGAAATGGGTCTGACAACTTTGAGATGTAAAGATGCGTAACATAACTGAAAGGCAGTTGCAGAGCTCATTTTTGTAAAACAAACAGATACACACATAGATACAAAATAAGCACAGGCACACCTCATCTTGTTGGACTGCTTTATTGCACTTAACAGGTGTTGCATTTTTTACAAGGCACCCCACTCCACCAACAAAAAGATTCTGACCCATTTTATTGTTACACTCGCTTTATTATAGTGGTCTGGATGCAGAACTGCAGTATCTTCTTTTGGGGCAATGAAAATGTTTTGGAACTTGATAGAGAAGGTAATTATGCAATCCTTTGATGTAGTAAATACCACTGAACCATACAAATTAAAATGGTTGATATCATGTTCTGTGAGTTTTATCTCCAAAGAAAAGAAATACAAGTGGGGGAGGGGGAACAGATTTTTATTAGGCAGCAACATTTTTCTTTCTTCAATAGTGACTGAGAAACTCTGTGATTTGAATCCCAAGCCCCTCCTTGGTTAGTAACACTTTTGGAGCCCACAGCTTTTAACCACCAAGGAAACCAAAATTCTCAAAAGAGTAGTTGTTCTTACCCACTAACACCAGGTTGCCATGGATCTCCAGCTCATTTGTTTGCACAAAGCCCTCTGTGCAGGGTCCAGTTACCTCTCCCACTCCTCTGTGGTTAAGTCCATGGTCACGTCCTTGAATGTGACAGGTTCCTAAAACACCAATGAACAGTGATTCCTCTTCAGTAAGCAAGCATCTACGCCAACGTTCGTAATACAAAGGGCAAACTTGGCAACACTGAGAAAGGTAGACAGAACAAAAGACACTTCAGATTTCTGCCCAAGCCATAAGAATGACTAAAAGAAACTATAAAAAATTTAAAAAACACATATATCTTATATAGAGGTTCACCAACACTAATAATAGAAAGAGCTCTTAAAAATCAAATTAAAAAAGATAAAATGCTCTAGTTAAAAATGGACAAAGGAAAAATGATCTCTGCTCCTTAAAAAAGAAAAATTATCTGAATGAGTAATTCCTAGAAGAAAAACAAATGGACAAGAAAGAAGGGATGTGTTGCCTCACAAATTAGCAAAGAAATGGTCATTCAGGTAACAATGAGACATTGTTTTCCCCTATTCATTGGGCAAAGATTAAGACTTATAACACCCATGACTAGTTAGAGTGTAAGGAACCAGGTACCCTCATACACTGTCAGAAGAAGTATGAATTGGCACAGTCTTTCTGGGTTTATCAAACATAGCCTTTGATTAAGCAATTCCAGTTCTAGAAATTCATCCTCATTAAGATAACGAACAACTTCCTTGCTGGTAAATTCAATGAAAAGTTTTTCTTCCTCTTTATGCTTGACTCCCTGGCATTATTTGGCCCTGTTGCCCATCTGATCTCCCTCAAAACGCTCCTCTTAGAGTCTGGATACCATAGTAACCTGGTCTCTTCCTACCTCTCTCATCACTCTTTGTCAATCTCCTTCTCTACACAGCTTATCAGCATTGGGGTTCCCTGGCCCTCTTCACATTCTCCTGATGTAATTTCATCTATTCTCATAGCTTCAAATGCCACCTGAAGGCTGAAAACTTCAAATTGTACTCCAACAGCCAAGTCCTCCAGCCAGAGCTACAGTATCAAACCCAAAAATCTACTTGAACATCTGGTGTGAAGCACAGTGCCTCATCTATAGCAGGTAATCCATAGATACCCACCAGGTGAAATAAATATCCACTTGCATATCTCAAAGGCATCTAAATCAGCTTGCTCAGTCCTGACTTATCTCCTTTCCAAACCCGCTTCTTTCCCACCCACCGTTCCCTACCTCAGGAAACCACACCTCAACCACTCGGATGTTCCAGTCAGAAAGATGGGTCGTGCTTGACTTCTCTCGAATCCCTGACTCTCATCCCTCACTAAATCATGGACAACTATGGGGGATTCAAGGCTGTAGTGGAGGAACTGACTGCAGATGTGGAAATAGTAAGAGAACCAGAATCAGAAGTAGAGCCTGAAGATGTGACTGAATTGCTGAAATCTCGCTATATGAAACTTTAACCGATAAGGAGTGGCTTCTTATGGATGATTCAAGAAAGGGGCTTCTTGAGATGGAATTGACTCCTGGTGAAGACTGTTGAAATGATAATAGAGAAATTAGAATATTACATAAACTCAGTTGATACAGCAGCAGGATTTGAGAGGACTACAATTTTGAAAGAAGTTCTACTGGGGGTAAAATGTTATGAAATAGCATCACATGCTACAGAGAAATTAATGAAAGGAAGTCAGTCACTGATAAAGCAAACTTCACTGTGATCTCATTTTAAGAAACTGCAACAGCCACCCCAACCTTCAGGAACCACCAACCACCCTGATCAGTCGGCAGCCATCAACCTTGAAGCAAGACCTTCCACCAGCAAGAAGATTACAACTTGCCAAAGACTCAGATGGTGGTAACCATTTTCAATTAAGGTACACACATTGTTTTTTAGATCTAATGCTATTATTGTACACTTTAGAGACTACAGTCCATATGAAACACAATTTTCATGCGCACTGGGAAACCAGATAACTCATGTGACACCCTTTATTGTGATACTCACTTTATGGAAGTGGCCTGGACCCAAAGCTACAGTATCTCCAAGGTATGCCAGTACCTTTCACCCAAAGAGATCCCACACATATTTTCTCAGTTGCTGATGGGTCAAGCAAACGAAAATAAATCAGTAAGTACACATAAATTTGGAACAAGTCAGATCTTATGGACACTTACAGAAGTTGGCACGTGCCATTAGAGAATATACAAGGTCTGTCCAGAAAGTATCCAGCCAATACTATGAAAAAGAGAGACATGTACTGAAGAAGATACAAGAAACACTGTCCATAGGACAATGACACCTCAGTCCCCTTCAAAGTAAGCACCTTGGGACCTGACACAGTTCTCCAAGTACCTCTTCCACTGTTCAAAACACTCTGCAAATCCTTTTTTGGAACTGCCAACAGCTGCCCTGTCGTATTTTCCTGAATCTCATTGACAGCCTGAAATCTCTTCCCTTTCAAAGGTGATTTTAGTTTTAGGGAAAGCCAGAAGTCACAGGGTGCCACATCTGGGCTGTTGTGGGGCTGAGTCACCTGGATGATTTGATGTTTCGCCAAGAAACTCCACACAAGATGCGGTACATGAGGGGGCTCACTGTCATGATAAACCTGCCAATCACCATTGCCCATAGCCATTTTCATGCATCTCTCTTCTGAGGAATGTTCGAGCTTAATGCAAAATTGGATGCAGATTTGTTGCTCTGCTGGCTCAGTCATTTTGAATGTGACGACCACACAGTACACATGGTCACTCAACGGGGTCTACATGCCCCATTGACTAGTACAGTGAAGGCATCATCATTCATGCTTGTGCAATGCAGTCCATTCTCCTTGGCTGCCAGCTTACATCAATTTTGGGCAAATCATTCTCATTATATTAACAGTGGCCAGACTTTTTCCGGACAGACCTCGTATATCATCTTCCTCTTCCTGAGTTTCCATTTCCTGTGGAGCCTGACCCCATAAACCCACACTCTCCATTCTTCTGTAATACTCACCTCTCTCCTCAAACATCTGGAACAACACCTCCGTGGATGAAGTCCTGGATGGCACCCCCCTGTAATGAACGCCATGATTCAAACCCTGGATGGGAGAGACAAAAGTTGGTTCCTATGTCTCCTGAACTGGGGGTAAAAGTCACAGGTCAGAAGAACCTCTTCCGAGGACCTCTTTACCCTTCCCCTTTTCCTAGAAAAGAATGGACTGAATAACAGGAAAGCAACACTCTTTCAACAGGTATTCTGTGAACTCGACAGCACCTATAGCCCTTGGATGGCCTTTTGTAGTATTTTTTTTTTCTTTTTTAATCCTCACCCGAGGACATTTTTCCATTGCCTTTAGAGAGAGAGAGAGAGACAGGCAGACAGTCATTGACTGGTTGCCTTCTCCTACACACCCCAACTGGGAATTGAACCTACAACCTGAATTTATGCCCTGACTGGGACTGGAACCCACAACTCTTCAGTCTACCAGATGATGCTTCAACTGAGCCACACCAGCCAGGGTGTAGAATTTTAACCAGGGCTGCTGGAAACCCAGACAGGCAGGAATATGCAAGAGGGACCCACAGGCTGAATTACAGGGTCTTCCTGCAGAGACACCAAGAGCTCTCTCAAAAAAGTAACGATCACAAGTTCAAATTTCACTTTGCATTCACTCCTCAGAAAGGATAATACAAACCAACTTTTTGTTTTAGGTAAAGTACAATACTATGCTGAGAAACAATCAAATTTCAGGTAAAATTGCAGGGAGTTTGAATACTATCTACTCCACTTATTAGGTTTGATTTGAAGCTGGGAACTTCTTCACATAGTTACATCATAGAGTAACAGTGATAAATAAATACCACTCTTAAAAGTGCTTAATAGTGTCTGACACTGGATGTATTGGTTCTCTTCCCCACCGCCATAAGGGGTTTACTGCCCTCTGAGAGCCAAAAGGCTCCTAAAAGGGGGTGCAGCACAGTTCAACTCACTGGTGTGAGCTCCCTACAAGTATCTGCACACGCTACCTGCAACACAGCAATGCAGACTGACCCACCACAGGCCCGCTAGACCTGCAGAAGCCCCGCCTTTGGCTGGCTCTGAGCCAAATCCGCCCCCCCTCTCCGGGCCCCCCCATAGGGAATACCTACAGTTTTACTTCCTTCACATGAACCAATAAGCCGGTCTTTGCTCTTCAGTTTTCACAGGACGCTGGAGCCAAACTAGCCAAAGCACTCAGAACACTGCCCGTCCTGCCCAGTGCACGTGTATGGAAACATTGATTCTGTCAGATTTCCCAGGGTCCACCGCAGAAATTCATCGAGGACTACATTTCCCATAAGGCTCATGGAGCTAGGGTCCCAAAGGAGGAGGGGCTTCCTGTTCATCAAGAGGTTTCCAGTTTGGTCTCTCGAGCTTCAGGGAGGGCTCTGGTCACAGTGAAGAGAAAGGTGTGTGTCATTTTTACTTAATATAGATATGACATATAGAGGACATGTGCCATAAGACATGGCAAATAGAAACCAGGAGGAAAATAGACCAAGTACAGTTTCTCCTTTCATTTTCTTTTTAAAAAAGAATTAAACTTTAGTAACAGAATAGCAAATATATCTTAACTGTAAGTAGTTTAAACATATAGAGTACAGAAATTAATGTATTAAAGTCTATCAAAAGGGACATTTGTTTCAGACAGCCTAGTTATGTTTCAGAGGTTTTTCTACAATTGTGTTGTAAGGCAACAGCAAGAGGCCAAATTTAACTTTCATTCAGGGAAAAAGACTTTATATAGGAAAAGAGAAGGGTTACATAACCATTCTTTGCTAGCTACTCAATAAAAGGAAAGTATCTGACAGGCATCACGGTATGTGGACTAGTTGCTAAAACAAGTCTTAATCCCATTAAAGTCATTTAGAAATTGCTTATCATCAATGGTAATTTTTCTAGAAGGAAGTCATGACTTATAGCATGCAAAAAAAATTTTTCCAGGATAGATTTGGGACAATTTCTCTTTTACTAGTTTCTTCGGACCTTTCCCTACCTCCCACCCCACCACTTAAAACCTCTGTGTGTGTGTGTGTGTGTGTGTGTGTGTGTGTGTGTGTGTGTGTGCTGTGAGGCCTACTATAAGCATATATCTAATATTCATTCAGCAAAAACATGTTGAGTTACCTCCTGTTTGCACAGAGCTGAGGATGGTTTTGGTTTTCTTCTTGCCAAAATTTTATACAGCCTAAGACAATGAGGTCAGTGACAAAGGTGCTCTAGGTGACAGTATATGCTTTTCCAGTACTGGAAATACATTTTAACTTATTCTACAGTATTCCTTCTTACCCTTATAGAAGAGAGCAAATTAATTTATGGAATTAACTTACATGCCTCCTGATATATTACAATGAAAACTCTTATTTTATTCCTTATTTCCACAGCAGACCATTGCACACTTCTTGTCAGCTTGACCCGCACAGCTGCTTTCTCAAGGGCATGTAACATCATGCTGGCAACAGCACAGCCCCCTACTCCCTCCTAAAATGTGTCCCCTTCCTTTAGTCTTTTTTAAAAAGTATATTTTATTGGTTATGCTATTACAATTGTCCCATTTTTCTCTGCCCTTTATTTCCTTCCAGCCTGCACCCACCTCCCACCAGCATTCCACTCCCCCACACCTTTAGTTCATGTCCATGGGTCGTACACATAAGTTCTTTGGCTTCTACGTTTCTCATAATATTCTTAACCTCCCCCTGTCTATTTTGTATCCATCATTTATGCTACTTATTCCCTGTTACTTTTCCCCCATTCTCTACCCTCCCTACCTGCTGATAACCCTCCACGTGATCTCCATTTCTGTGATTTTGTTCCTGTTCTAGTTGTTTGCTTAGTTTGTTTTGGGGTTTTTTTTAAGAAGTAGTTTAGAGTTTCAGGTGAGAGCCATGGATATGGGAAGGGGAAATAGGATGGGAATGGGAAGCACTAAGTAGAGCAAAATGAGGATTTCATATAGGGAATAAGAAAACTGTTGAGCTGGAAAAAAGGAAAATCTTGTGACAATAAAGAAAAGAATTTCCTGTGTGGCTGGCAAACTGATTCTGAAGACAAGACCAAAAGAAGGCTTAAGAAGGTCCTGAAATGATTGCAGAAGTGAAACTAGCCTATACCCTCCCAAGTAACTTGGAAAGTGTTAAAGAAAAAAAGATATTCGTGATGCTTGTTAAGGAATATATGCAAGGCAGACTTTATTTGGGACTATTACATAAGTATAGTACTGCTACAATGGGATTTCAGTGGAGGATAAAATATTAAGCTCAACTCCAATACAGAACAGACAAGTGGGAATCTATAGCCCAAGGAGCAGAGCAGCAGCCAGTGGATGGAAAATGAGTAAGAGGAAACACCAGAGGTAAGGAGAGGGTTGGTTCTGGCTAAATCTATCTACAGGGTTCTTGCTGAAGACAGGCCAGCATGATCAGACATCACCTAAAAGGATGCTAGAGAATGAAGAACTGATCAGATACCGAGAGTAGGGGGTTCTGGTTAAATTGACTTAGCAGGATTCTTGCTAAAACCAAATTTTACAAGGAAGTGCAAAATGGGCCTAGGAGAGGGTTCAGGAGCCTGACTAAAGTTTGGTCAAAGAACCTTTGTCAATTACAAGGAAAAGAAAGTCCTCATCTAGATTGCTAAACAAGTTAATTTTACCAAGCACTGAAAGAAGAATAAACACTCATCCTTCTCAAACTATTCCAAAGAATTCAAGAGGGGAAGATTCCCAAGCTGATTTTTATGAGGCTAACATTGTCCTAATTCCACAACCAGAAAAAGACACTACAAAGAAAGAAAATTATAAGCCAACACCCCTGAAGAACATAAATGCTAAAATTCTCGATAAAATATTATCAAACTGGATCCAACAATACATTAAAAATATCATACACCCCGATCGAGTGGGATATGTTCCAGGGATGCAAGGTTGGTTCAGTGCCTGCAAATCAATCAACATGATATACCACATAAGCAAAATGAAGGATAAAAACCATACAATCATATCAATAGATGCAGAAAAAGCATTTTTAATAAAACCCCGCACTGATTTGTGATAAAAACTCTCAACAAAGTTGGAATAGAGGGAATATACCTCAATGTAATAAAGGCCACATATGAAAAATCCATGGACTACATCATACTCAATGCGCAAACTAAAAGCATTTCCCTTAAGATCAGGAGCAAGACAGGATGTGCACTTTCACCTCTCTCATTCAACATAGTACTGGAAGTCCTAGCTACTGCAATCAGACAAGAAGTGGAAGGAAAAGGCATCCAAATTGGAAAGAAGAAGTAAAACTGTCCGTATCTGTAGATGGTATGAAACTGCATTTAGAGAACCCTAAAGATTCCACCAAAAGCTACCACAACTGATAAATGAATTCAGTAAAGTACCAGAACACAAAACAAATATCCAGAAATCAGTTGCATTTTTATACACCAACAATTAAGGAAAACTAAGAAAACGATGCCATTCACAATTGCTTAAAAAAATATACCAAGCAATAAATTTAACCAAGGATGTAAAAGACCTGTACTCAGAAAATTGTAAGACACTGAAGAAAGATACTGAAGAAGACACAAATAAGTGGAAGCATATACTGTGTTCATGGATAGAAAGAATTAACATCATTAATATGTCCATACTACCCAAACCAATCTGTAGATTCAACACAATTTCTATCAAGAGACCAGTGGCAGATTTCACAGAACTAGAACAAATATTCCAAAAATGTATATGGAACCATAAAAGTTCCCAGATAGCCACAGCAGTCTTGAAAAAGAAGAAACTTGGAAGAATCACACTTCCTGATATCAAACTATACTACAAGACCATGGTAATCAAAACAGCATAGTACTGGTATAAAAACAGACATATAGATCAATACAACAGAATAGGGAACCTACAAATAAACCCACACTTTTATGGTTAATTAACATGTGACAAAAGAGGCAAAAACATGCAATGGCTAAAGATAGTCTATTTAATGAATGGTGTTGGGGAAATTGGACAAATACATGCAAAAAAATGACCACCTCCTTACACCATACACCAGGATAAACTCAAAATGGATTAAAGACTTAATGTTAGACTCAAAACCATAAAAACCCCTAGAAGAAAAACACATGCAGTAAAATATCTGACATTTCTCATAGCAATATTTATTGATATATCTCTTTGGGCAAGGGAAACAAAAAAATGAACAAATGGGACTATATCAAACTAAAAAGGTTTTGCATAGCAAAGGATATCATCAACAAAATGAAAAGAATGAATGGAAGAGCATAATTACCAATGATACATCTGATTAGGGGTTAATATCCAAAAATTTATAAAGAACTTATAAAATCTGCGCTGGCTGGTGTAGCTCAGTGGGCTGAGTGCCAGCCTGTGAACCAAAGGGTCACTGGTTCGATTCCCAGTCGGGACACATGTCTGAACTGCAGGCCAGGTCCCCAGTAGGGAGTGTGTGAGAGGCAACCACATATTGATGTTTCTCTCCCTCTCTTTCTTCCTCCCTTCTCCTCTCTCTAAAAAAAGTAAATAAAATCTAAAAAAAAAAAAAGAATTTATAAAACACCAAAACCCTCCCAAACAATCCAATTAAAAATGGGCAAAGTATTAAAAATACTTCCCCAAAGAGGACATAAAGATGGCCAACAGACACGAAAAGATTATTGATGTCATTAGTCATCAGAGAACTAAATGTGTTTTAATCAAATTAAAAACACAATGAGATACCACTTTATACCTGTCGGAATGGCTATCACCAATAAATCAATAAACAAGTGCTGATAAGGATGTGAAGAAAAGGGAACCCTTTTGTGTATTGCTGGTGAGAATGAACATTGGTGCAGGTGCTGTGGAAAGTAGTATGCAAGTACCTCAAAAAAATTAAAATTGGAACTGCCTTATCACCCAGTGAGTCTACTTCTGGAGAAACCCCAAACACTAATTCAAAAGGATGTGTGCATCCTTATGTTCATTGCAGTGTTACCTACAATCGCCAGGATATGGTAGTGGCTCAAGTGCCCATCAGTAGATGAGTAGATAAAAAAGTAATATTTGCACAATGGAATACTACTCAGCCATAATAAAGGAAATCTTACCCTTTGCAAAAGCATGGGTTGATCTGGAGAGCATTATGCTAAGTGAAATGAGCCAGTCAGAGAAAGACAAATACCATATGATTTCACTCATATGTGTAATCTAATGAATAAAGCAAATTAAGAAACAAAATAGAAAGAGACTCATAGGGAACAGACTGACAGCCAAGAGAGGGAAGGGCAGTTGTGGAGCTGGGTGAAAAAGGTGAAGGGGTTAAGCAAAATGAACAAACTCAAAGACACAGACAAGAGTGTGGTGATTACCAGAAGGGAAGGGGGTGGAGGGGAGGTAGAAGAGGGTATAGAGCACATAATGGTAATGGGAGGAGACTTGACTTGGAGTGGTGAACACACAATACAATATATAGATGATGTATTATAGAACTGCACACCTGAAACCTATATAAATTAACCAATGTCACCCCAATAAATTCAATAAAAAATAAAAATATGTCTTTGATAGCAGAAAAGATATCATTTAGATCCTTAAGTTCTAGTATGCTTATGCAAAAAGCACTATCATCAATTTATAATCATTATTCAACATTACTTTTCAAAAAAATAGCTAATGAAAGAAACAGTATATCATAGTTGTAACCAAGCTTAAACTTGAAAGTGGTATGAATTCTGAATTTCAGTTCAAGCTGTTATTGCAACACTCAAGGAAAAGCATAAAGGGTTTTCGATATTACCAAGGAATACTGTGGACAACAATAAAAACTTTAGCTTAAATAATGGGTCGCTCATCCTTCCAAGGAGATATGTGGTACTAACAAAATGCCACATTCCAAAGAAATGTTGATATGCAGAAAAACTTGCTCTTTTAAACTTGGTTAATGCTGCCTGTACTGTCATATAGAAAATTCCGGATACTCCTATGAGATATCAACTTTATGTATACATATATATATAATCTTAGACCTAAATACTAGCTGCTGGAAAGTTGCAAGCTATCATGACACCCAACTTTACTAAAATCAAATACAGATAACATAGCTAAATATGACTTGAGCTATGCTATATCTCATGTAGATACACCAATGAAAAAATATTTGACCAGAAATGTTTTATTTACATACTTAAATATTTTCCTCAATGAAATGCTTATTGTAATACAGAATACAACTGTTTCCCCCTATCAATTGTTATCTTGTTAAATTTTTGTTTTGGTGTGTACATAAGAAAACGTCTTTATAACAAGTTTTGTAGTTAAAGAGGAGACTCTGGGATTCAGTCACACTACTATGCCCATTAACAGTGCCAGCAAATGGCCCTGGCTGCTGTGACTCAGTGGTTGAGCTCTGGACTCTAAAACAAAAGGGTCAAAGGTTCTATTCCCAGTCAGGGCACATGCCTGGGTTGTGGGCCAGGTCCCCAGTAGTGGAGTACACAAGAGGCAACCACACATTGATGTTTCTCTCCCTCTCTAAAAAATAAAATAAATAATATCTTTAAAAACATTATTTTGAAAAAAGTGCCAGCAAATGAATAAAAATATTACTGAATTTCATATTGCATATTAAACCACATTTCCCCCCTTGCATGTTTTGTTAGGATTGGGGGGGAAATGGTGATATTTACTGCAGAAATTCAATAGATATTTAATATTATGAATAAATATATTTTATTCTCACACTCACATAATTATAAAATTTGTTATAAAAATAAAAAACTCAGGGATGGTAAATGAAGTCTTCACTGATTCATTACTTAATTTATGCTTACTTTCCAAGCTCTATTATTTACAATTCAATATTTTCTGTGATCTCTTCTGTAAAAGATCACAATCATGTTGTGATTGGAATTGATTATCTCTTTATGGAAACCTACTTCTTCCAAATTCATTATATAATTCCTCAATTTCTCTTCACCATGACATCTCTGCTATTTAATATGATTTATTTAATATCTAAGGCTTTCTCATATTCATAAAGTGAATACTATGTATGAATTCTTTGATGTACAATAAGATTTGACTTCTGGGAAAACGCTTTCCCACATTTGCTACATTCATAGGGCTTTTCTCCTGTATGAGTTATCTGATGTCTAAGGAGATGAGACTTCTTGATGAAAGCTTTGCCACATTCAATACATCCATAAGGTTTTTCTCCCGTGTGAATTCTTTGATGTGTAACAAGCACAGATGTGTTGCCAAAGGCTTTGCCACATACGATACATTGGTACGGTTTCTCTCCTGTATGAAATCTAGAATGTTTATAAAGGGATGAACTATACCTGAAGGTTTTCCCACATTCCTTACATTCAAATGAATTCTCCAGTGTATGAGATTTCACATGTTGAGTAAAGGAGGAGTTCCATGTGAATGATTTCCCACACTGACTGCATTCATAGGGTTTCTCTCCAGTGTGAAGTCTCTGGTGCACCATGAGCTGTGCTTTATGCATAAAGGCTTTCCCACAGTCACTGCACACAAAGGGTCTCTCTCCATTATGAACTTTCTGATGAGTTGCAAGGTGTGCCTTCCTGCTATAGGCTTTCCCACAGTCATTGCATTCAAAGGGTTTTTTTCTTGTGTGATTTTTCTCATGTCTAATTAAATGGAAATTCTTTTTGAAGACTTTCCCACAGTCTTTGCATTCATAAGAGTTTTCTCCATTATAATATCTGTTATAATTAAGTAAGCCTAAAGTAGGTTGCAAACTCTTTCCACATGATTTGCATTTACATAATATTTTTCTTGCATTTATATAATTCTTTCCAATATGATGTGTGTTCATATTATAACCATGGAGTCTCTCCATATTCAGAATTTTATTGAATGTGAACAAAACTGAATTCAAAAAATTGTCTTTGCTTTCTTGGTGCTTCTCTGATTCATCAACAAATGGGCAGTCAGCTTCTAAAAAAAAAGTACAATAAGACATTCCTAGTTAATTTTTTTCCATCAACAGTTACAGGAAGAAACTTATATGGCTTCAAAACTAGTCTCTCATTTTGAAACTAGTCCTATATTTGCCTTGCTCCTGACCTTTAAGAATAAAACTCTAAAGAAGAAATGGGAGCAGATGAATGACAATAATGAGAACAGATGACTTAACGTGTGACTTGTGCAAAGACTGTAAAATAGGCACAGGGCACAGTGAGTAGGGGGCAGAGGAAGTCAAGGTTGCTCAACAAGCATGCACAGTTAGCTCAGACAATGAAGAGAGCCCATTGTAGAGATCTGATCAATGGATAGGGCAAACAGGGGAACAAAAGACCCAGGGGGTTAAGGGAAATTATCAGAGGAAAAACTAGTCTTGGAAGAGGCAGATCAGAACCAGAATCCTCACTATCTGATTTCTAAATACCTTTTTAGGATAACTCCCTATTTCCCCCATTCACATCTCTTTTTCCTCTTAATTACCTGACACAATGTCAGTTCCCTTCAGGAACATTGTTATATCTCCAGTCCTCTAACCCCATCCAAACCACAGCAGAGACATATCTGCAGACAGGGCTCCAGCTTTACTGCAGCTGGAATTCATTCTCCCACACACTTACCTGTGAGCCCAGGAACACAGATGTCCAAACAGATCACTCAACAGCAAGTCATCCTTAGCCCCAGTATTCTGCTTAGCCCCAGATTCTCTCTGCTTGCTGTCATTTTTATTCTGGCTGGGTTTCTATATATGAAATCTGTCATATTTGTATTTGGCAAAAACTGTTTTTAAGCCTCTTTTAATCTGCCTAATAAACTAATCCCCAGAAAGCTGCTTTGTTCCTAAAAATCACACTTTTTCATGTCCATCCTCAAAACCCTCTAAATCCCAAATTCAATGCTCCATTAAAAAAAGAAAGAAAAAAGAACAGAAATGGGGGACTATAATTCCCTGTTTCTGAGATTTCTTTCATGTGGAGTTTTAGCACAAAACCCTTAGCCTCTTGCTCTGTGCCTTATCTTTCTTTACGGAGCTCACCTGCATAGTGGACTATAGACATTAATAGCCATGTCTTTACAAAGTGGTTCTAGTTATGGAGACTGGGTTTCTATCTTTTCTCACTTCAGTCAAGGGGAAGTAGCATCTTGTGTTAGAGCAAGCAATAATAACTAACTGAAAAATCCAGGGTAATTAGCCTGGTGAATAAACTATGCAATATAATGAATTCATTCATGGTATCTAAGCATGCCTTCCTCTAGTTCTGAACAAATACCTTCTGTCCCAAAGAGTCTAGACTCTAAATGACTACAATCTTTTGCTCAAAATCCTTCCCTACTGTAACTTGGTCTCCCTCACCCCTCTCATCCTATCTAGTACTCAGACATCTTTAGGGAGGCCCCATTGTTCCATGACCTCAAAATGAGACTCCTCCAATCCTTACACACTTTAAACTTGAACCTCCAATTTGTCTGCATGTCTCTGTGACTTCCTAAATCACACATTTTGACAACTAACTACAAAACTGCAATGTGAGCATGCACTGAGCAAATGTTCCACACTCATCAGCTTAGATCGTATATGGCTACATTTTGCATCTTCAACTATAATTTACACACTTGGAAAAAGTCAATGGTTTTTCATTTTCTTTCCTTTTTCTTACTTTCTTTGAATGCTTCTCAGGAAACAACAAAAGGCCTTCTTGAAAGAAATAAGAAAATCCCCATAGTCCCTGACGTCATGACAGTGAATTAATGAAATAATTGCTCAGTGATTGCCATTATGGGCTCAACAATGGTGTAAAAGAAAAAGCGATATGGGTCTTTCTCTTCAGGGTGTTATCATAAGGAAATATGCCCTAAGAACCATGGAGATTTTTTAAACCTAAGGCAAGTATTTGTCAAGTTTTTATGATAGAACCTTATTAGAGTCGGGATGGGAGTTCAAAGAAGGTAGAATTAATCCCGGCTGCAGCTACCATGAAAGAGAAAACTGAATTCAGATTTAACATCTTCTGGTTTTCGTTAGGTGGAGCCCACCTGAATCAAAAGGACTGATGCAGAGAAGAAAATTATGTACAGGGTACACTAAAGAACCCAATTGCTATGGAATAGGAAAAAAGAAGAACAATTCTGGATAAACAAAATGGGATAAACAAAACAATTCTGGATAAACATTATAGAGGGCTTTAAAAGCCATTTAAATATCACAATGTAGGGTATAAAGGAATAAGTTATGTTTGTCAGGAAAGTGACAAGAAAAGTTAATTTGAGTAAATCTTACAGGAATATCTAAGATAAACCAGAAAATATAAAATAATTCACAATATAGGAATATAAACTGCCTAGGCACCATTTCAGGAGTTAAAATTCATTTGGTTTATGTCAGAAGTTGAAGTCTCAGGTAATCTAAAATATATTTAATGGTGTCTTAATCATTTGAAACATACTTCTTTTACAGACTCTGTGGAAAGGAAAATTTTTATTTTGAATCAGTCTCGGATAAACTAATAGTTGAAATCATAGGCAATTAAGTCACAAGAGCATTTAAGAAGAAATTCTTAAGAAAAAAATCTAAATTGCCCACCAGAGTGATTTTGAGGTGGCAAAGCAGCGGGCCAGTCATTCTTCTTTACAGTAATATAAAGACAATGGTGACAGTGAAGGATGTCGGTGACTAAGAAAAAACTGAGACTGTAAGGCCAGGTGAAATCAAAGTAGGGGGAACAGAAAGATGGTGAGGGAAAAATGCTCAAGAGGGCATAAAACAAATAACTTTAGTCTTTAGTGACAAAGCTTTTGAGGGAGTTACTGTGGAGAATAGTTCACAAGGTAAAAGAGAAGGCAAGAAGCAAAAGTTGAATACGCAGTAAGGTTGAGGGTGTATTAGCAAGGAACCAACTCGAAGGAGTGGGAGGAGAATTTCCAACAGGTGATCAAATTACCAAATGAAGCAGAAAAATGAACTCTAAGGGAGACAGATACCTCAAGTTATCAGTGAGGCTAAAGATGAGCAAGGTGGGGTACACAGGTGGGATGTACGATGCAAGACAAGTGATTTTTTTTAAGGAAAATAATTAGAAAGAACATGATGTGACTAAAAGTTCTGAAATAAAGACAACTAACATATGCTCACTATCTGCCAACTATTTAAAGGGCTTTGCATGAATTCACTCATATAATCTTTAGAAGGAAGGCCGAGATAAAGATGAATATTATCCCTATTTTATAAGTAAAATTGTGCTACAAAGTAATTAGGTTAGACAGTGATTGGTGGACTAAGACTTCAAATGCACACAATCTGACTACACTCTGAGATTTAGATGTATGGAACAGCTCTGTGATCATGTTGGGCAGGGAAAGAGAATGAGGATTTTAGGAATTAAGAGAACAAAGTAAGGACCTAGGGACTTCTGGCCAAGATGGAGGTATAGGTAGACATACTGTGCCTCCTCACATAACCAAAAAAAAGGACAACAACAATTTAAAAACGAAAAACAACCAGAACTGACTGAAAATCAACTGTATGGAAGTCCAACAACCAAGGAGTTAAAGAAGAAACATTCATCCAGACCAATAGGAGGGGCGGAGACAGGCAGCTGGGCAGAGAGGAGTTGTCACAAGGCGGCAGCAGGCAGACCTGGTGAGGTGGCGAATTGTGGACTGTGCAGTCCCACATTCATGTGCAGATAAACTGGGAGAAATACTGGGGAGCAGATGGACTGCGCAATCCAGGGCCCTAGCACGGGGAAATAAAGCCTCAAACCCTGATTGAAAACACCTGTTGAGGCAGTGGGAAAAACTCCCGGCCTTACAGGAGAGTTCACTGGAGAGACCCACAGGGTCCTAGAACATACACAAACCCACCCACCTGGCAATCAGCACCAGAAGGGCCCAATTTGCTTGTGGGAAGCGGGGGAAGTGACTGAAATCCAGTAGAGAGTGCAGCAAGCACCACTGTTCCCTCTCTGACCCCTGTCCCACATACAACATCACAACTGAGCGACATGGGTTGCCCCGCCCTGGTGAACACCTAAGGCTTTGCCCCTCACTATGTAACAGGTGCATCAAGACAAAAAAAAAAATGGCCCAAATGAAAGAACAGATCAAAGCTCTAGAAAAAATACAACTAAGCAATGAAGAGATAGCCAACCTATCAGATGCACAGTTCAAAATACTGGTGATCAGGATGCTCACAGAATTGGTTGATTTTGGTCACAAATTAGATGATAAAATGAAGGCTACGCTATGTGAAATAAAGGAAAATGCACAGGGAACCAATAGTGATGGGAAGAAAACTGGGACTCAAATCAATGGAGTGGACCTGAAGGAAGAAACATCCAACCAGAAAAGAATGAAGAAACAAGAATTCAAAAAAATGAGGAGAGGCTTAGGAACCTCCAGGACATTTTTAAATGTTCCAACATTCGAATTATAGGGGTACCAGAAGAGGAAGAGGAACAGCAACAAGTGGAAAACATATTTGAACAAATAATAAAGGAGAACTTCCCCAATCTGGCAAAGAAAATAGACTTCCAGGAAATCCAGGAAGCTCAGAGAGTCCCAAAGAAGTTGAACCCAAGGAAGAACACACCGAGGCACATCATCATTACATTAGCCAAGATTAAAATGAAGGAGAGAATTCTAGAAGCAGCAAAAGATAAGGGGACAGTCACCTACAAAGGAGTTCCCATCAGACTGTCAGCTGATTTCTCAAAAGAGACCTTGCTGGCAAAAAGGGGCTGGAAAGAAGTATTCAAAGGCATGAAAGGCAAGGACCTACATCCAAGATTGCTCTATTCAGCAAAGCTTTCATTTAGAATGGAAGGGCAGATAAAGTGCTTCTCAGATAAGGTCCAGTTAAAGGAGTTCATCAGCACCAACCCCTTATCATATGAAATGTTAAAGGAATTTATCTAAGAAAAAGAAGAAAAATATGAACAGTAAAATGACAGCAAACTCACAATCATTAACAACCACACCTAAAACAAAAACAAAAGCAAACTAAGCAAACAACTAGAACAGGAACAGAACCACAGAAATGGAGATCATATGGAGGGTTATCAACAGAAGAGAGGGAAGGGGAGAGAAGGGGAGAAGGCACAGAGAATAAGTAGCATAGACAGTGGGGAGAAAATAGACAGGGGGAGGGTAAGAATAGTATAGGAAATGTAGAAGCCAAAGAACTTATATGTATGACCCATGGACATGAACTAAAGGGTGGGAATGTGGGTGTGCAGGATGGAGGTGAGTGAAGGGGGAAAAATAGGACAACTGTAATAGCATAACCAATAAAATATATATATTTTAAAAGTAAGCAGTCAGTGCAAGAAGGCAGAGTACAGAGGAGAGGGACATTCCTTCACACAGAGGTGAGCAAAGGGAAAGAGCAGCTATATGGAGAGTGAAAGTAGGTGTCATTTGGGGATCTGATGATTATGTCAAGTGTACCGGTCACTTCCAAAGGTGTGTGGCTTTTAAGAGACACTTCCTGAAAAGTATTTCAAAGATGCCTGTCTCTCACTGACCAATTCCAAAGACTCTCATCTACCTGGTTTTCTCTCACTCACCCAGGTGGCTCCAACGTGGGCTCTTTCCCTCCACCATCTGCAGCTCTTGTCCTTTCTCCACCTTGAAGACCGCTTTTGATTTGGTAACTGGAGCCCCTGTTCAAGGGAAACAACACAGAACTGGGAACAAGGTGCCAGGGACAAACACCTCAGGTCTGCCTCCTTGAGTCTCGGGGCCTGAAAGGATGAGTGTCTAGAACAGAAAGACTCTTCTCCATTTGGGAGGTTGAAGCATAAACAGACTCTCTGACCCGCACGGAAAATGAAGAATCTGATCACTAAGATTCAGGGCCAAACTTACTAAAGCTTCAATGTTCACAGCTTTCACAAGTCTTCAAGGAAGGGCACTATTAACACACTCTGAGTTACAATGAAAAGCCACCACCCACTGTCCTTACCCAACGAGACGAGGTTTCTAAAGTTCTCCAACATCACATCCCAATACAAGGTTCTCTGATCACAGTCAAGCAGCTGCCACTCCTCTGAGGTGAAGTCCACAGCCACATCCTGGAATGTCAATGATCCCTGTAACAGCACATGGATCTTCAAACTAAAGTGTGTATGAATCATGCCAGCCTCATATGGTCATATCATGTTCACTGTTTTCAAAAAGTTGTGTATGATAGATTACTGCAGGTTTGATTCAGAAATAGACTCTATGATCTAAACAAAAATCATATTTAAATAATCAACTACTGCCAGGACAATTCAATGGGGGAAAGTATATTCATTTTAACAAATGGTCTTGGGACAACCAGATATCCACATGCAAAAGAATGAAGTTGGACCCCCCTCCCACACACACCTCACATCATATACAAAAATACACAAAAAATGGGTGAGAGACCTAACTGAAAGAGCTAAAACTAAAAATTCTTAGAAGAAAACATAGGAGTAAATCTTTGTGACCTTGGATTAGCCAGTGGTTTCTTAAATATGACAGAAAAAGTATAAGTGGCAAAATATAAAAAAAACAGTTAAATTGAAATTCATCAAAATTTTAAAATTTTGTGTTTCAAAGGACACCATCAAGAAACTGAAAAGACAACACAGAATAGGAGGAAATACTTAAAAATCATGCAACTGATAAGAGATTTGTATGTAGAATATAAAAAGAATTCTTAAAACAGACAACCAAATTTACGGCCACCCCACCTTCCCAGCGCAGGACCACATTGATATTTCTCTCCCACTCTTTCTCCTTCCCTTCCCCTCTCTCGAAAAATAAATAAAATATTAAAAAAAAATAGCCAAAGGATTTGAACAGACACTTCTCCAAAGACATATATAGTCCATAAGCACACAAAAAGATGCTCAACATCATTAGTCATTAGTAAAATGCAAATCAAAGCTACAATGAGGTATCATTTCAAAGTCACTAGGATGGCCAAAATTAAAGACAGACAATGACAAATGTTGGCAAGGATGTGGAGAAACTGGAACTGTCATACATAGCTGGTGGGACTGTACAATTGTGCAGCAACGAAGGAAAACAGTGTGTTGGTTCCTCAAAATGTTAAACAAAATGTTACCATATGATCCAACAATTAACTCCTCACAGGTATATACCCAAGAGAATTGAAAAATACATGTCCACACAAAAACCTGTGCACAATGTTCATAGTAGAATTCTTAATAATAGCCCAAAAGTGAAATCAATATGAGTATCCATCAATTAATGGATGGATAAACAATACTGCACATGATGCAGTATTGCTCAGCAATGACAAGATGTCTACAACATAGGTGAAAATATTGCACTGGGTGAAAGAAGTCAATTACAAATGATCACATATTGTATGATCCCATTTGTATAAAATGTTCAGAATAGGCAAATCCATAGAAACGCTAAGTAAATTAGGGCTGGGGGAAGGAAGGAATAGGTATGAGGTTTTTTTGAGGGTAACGACATGTGTTTAAATTAGGTAGTGGTGATAGTTTCACAATTCCATCAGTAAACAAAAACCAGTGAATTGCACATACTTTAAAACAGGTCCATTTGTAATATGCAAATTATATCTCAATAAAATTATTTTCAAATATTGTTTATATATTCTTCACTCATAAAATATGCAATGAGGGCCAGATACTGTACTAGTATTGCAAAAAAAAGAATAAAATTATTACTGCCCTCAGAGATATCACACTCTATTAGACAATATAAAGTGAACATGTAAGTGCAATAAGACGTTCAGGAGCTGTAAGGTTAACATACCAGACTCACATAAGCATAATAAAATAGGAAGATGTGGATTTCGTTAACATGATACAATATATTCTTTCAACCATAAAGCCAAAGTCATGTTTAATTAACATAAACTGAAATTAAAAAGGCATGTAGCTACATGTCTATCACAAAGAGACAGTTAAGACTATAAGAGCAGGGGACAGCAGGGGTCAGCAAACCACAACACATGGGCTGGCCTCCTATTTTTGTAAATAAAATGTTACTGGAATGTAGTTGTATTTATTTACCTCAGCTACAAGGGCAGAACTGTGCAGTTTCCATAAAGGCTACATGGCCTTCAAGCCTAAAATATTTACTACCTGGTCTTTTAAAAAGTTAAGAGACTTGGTACAGCTTATCCCAGTAATTCATACATAGTTCAGTATTAGAAATTCTAAAATTAATATAAATTCTCTAAACTGCTATACTAGATAACATAAAATATATAATTTTATTGACAGGTATTTTAAAAGGATATGATAAAAAAGTTCCTAATTTATGAAAATAATCTTCACAAGCTAAAACCCTTAACTTGATTAAAAACAAAAACAAAAAACAACTATCAGAATACAAGATGAAACAGTGAAACACTGGTAGCATCTCCATTAAAAATGGAACAAAAAGATTTTGGCTAGCAATTACATTCAAAATTATAATTACTAGAAGTCCTGTCCCTTGCAATAAGACAAGAAAAATGGATATATATATATATATATAGAGAGAGAGAGAGAGAGATATATATAGAGAGAGAGAGAGAGAGAGAGAGAAATAAATCTAGGAATCAACTAAAAACCTCTTGGACTTAGTAAGAGTTCCATAAACTGACATACATTCATGTGCTGCATAATGATGTTTCCATCAATGACTAATCACATAGACAACAGTGATCCCATAAGATTATAAAAAAAGCAAAAAATTTCCTATCATCTAGTAATGTTGCAGCTGTCATAACCCCATAGTGCAACACATTACTCATGAGTTTGTGATGATACTGGTTTAAACAAACCAATTGTACTGCTAGTCATATAAAAATATAGCAATATAATTATGTATAGTACATAACACTTGATAATGATAATAAACTACTGTTACTGGTTTATGTATTTACTATACTTTTTATGTTATTTTGGAGTGTACTCTTTGTACTTATTTTAAAAAAATGTTTTCTGTAAAACAGTTGCTATGTGATGCCTGCAGCAGCCCAATACATTTCATATTTACAGTGTCTCTTGGTTGAAACATTTTCTCTTATGCTTAGTTTAATCTTGTGTTGTTTTACTCAGTAATATGCTGTACAGACTTGTAGCCTAGCAGCTATAAGCTATATCACCTAGCCTACATGGCTATACCGCCCAGGTTTGTGTAAATACACACTATATGATGTTCACACAATGATAAAATCGCCTACTGACACAGTTCTCAGTCGTAAAGCAGAACGTGACTCTAAAATCAAACACATTAACCCATACTTTCCTGTATAAAAGAATAATCAATAAGAAAATATAATGAAAAATATCTATGTCATTCTCAATAGCAACTTTCATCATGTGTAAGAATAAACATTACAAAAACTGTCCAAGAATTACAATAATAAAACTATAAAACTGTAATGAAGGACCTATCAGAAAAATTATATAAGTGAAAGACTCATTATTGAAAAGTCATTAATTTTCTCCAAAGTAACCTAAAAGTGTAATGCAGTCACATACTCCTTTAACAACCCTGACAACCTGATTTTGAAATGCATGTGGAAGAGAAAATGCTTAAGAATAGCTGGAGACCCTGAAAAGGTACTAGGAACCTTTTAGTTATTTTTCAGATGAACATTAAAAGGGTTTATGTAGTGCCGCTTGGCACCGTGTTCTCTGTTTACTCAGGGAACACTCTAAGAAAGGCACAGGGAATCTGATGTTATATTTACCACAGATAAACCCGGGGAACTATTTTGCTTTATCCTCACAGGAAATGCCAATATTTAACTAATTGGTATCCACTTTCTATGACCCCCAGAAATACTGGGCACACAAATGCAGCTAAAATTCATTCCAACTACCTGCAGACCCTATCAACTTAACCATATTCTAAATTTCGTTTTGGACCTAATCCATTCAATCTACATTTTCCCTGACTATACATTTCCTTTTTATATGGATTTTTTGGAAATTTAAATGACTGAATAAATAAATGGCTTACCTGGAAGTTGATCATTTTCTGCAGCTCTTGCACGGCTATCTCTCACAATAAAAATGGGAAAAGAAGAGAAGTATGTGAAAAACCAAGACTGAGATGTGGGACCCTGCCCTGTCACAACAGAAGCACCCACACTACAGCCTCAAAGAATCCCACCTAGGGGGAGAATGTTTCTAGCAAGTCAGAAAAGCCCCTATTTTATAAGCACCGATCTCTACTTGTGCTTGTGAATACATGGATGTTGTACAGTTCTGTCCTACTGATCTTACCGAAAGTTGTTAGCCTTGGAACCAGTGACAGGTTTTTTCCCAGAAATTTATCCTAAGAAAATAATAATGAATGAGTGAAAAGACTCACTAAAAGCCTGGTCTCTGAAGCTCGGTATCTCTGGAACTCATTCCTTCTGATTCTCTGGTCTCTGCTCTGAAACTGGGGTAAGATACCACAAATTAGGTTGACTTTATTGCAAAGGCTAGATCCACAGACCCAGGAACTTTTTTTTTTTAGGCTGGAGCCCTCAGTTTAGACTCCAAATCTGCACTGCCCCCGGAAATTCACCATCTCCTATGGGTGGAGTCTCCCTGTGGCTGCAATCCTTTTCAAATTTCAGCCAGCACCGCTGGGGCCCTAGAAAGGCTAAAATGTGCATGAGGGACTCACAGCTACGTTTACACAATCTTCCCTGGAAGACCCGCAGATTCACCTAGTGACCCTTAAAAAAATTCCGACAAATCTAAATGTACTCACAATTCACTGCTCAAATATTTCAAAAGAAGAATAAATCAAACTAATTGTTTATTTGTTTTGTGCAGAGTGCTTTCTTCCAAAAAAGAATGAAATTTGGAGAGAACTCATCTGGATTTGAATCTCAGCTCATCTACCTATTAAGCTATGTGAGTTCAGCCAAATAACTTCACCTCTCTCAGCTTCAGTTATTTCATATATAAAATGAAGATCTTAACAGTGACTTCAGGTGATGGTTGTGAGAATACCTTAAAAAAACAGCATGGCAGTTTCGGAAATACTTACTTCCCAGATCCCTTGAGATAGTTTAACATTTCCTGTAGCAAGCTCTGGTAGGGACAACGGCGCTCTTGGAACCAGAAAGGTGCAGTCTGGTGCACAAACTCCTACCCAGTGACCTTTAACAACGAAGGCAGCAACGCACACTGAGCCTGCCCCAGACCCAGCCGGGACCTAGGCACCCACTGAGTGGCAGTCGGAGCCTTGGGCTTCTCTCTGAACAGCTCCGGAATTGGAAAGGACCCACAACCCAACACAGTCACCGCAGGTGCAGTTTGTTAAATTTAATCTTCGTTTGTTTAAGCCAATAAACCGGCCCCCCGTCTTTCTCTCCGCCCTTCCCTTAGCCCAGCAGTCAAACCTGTCAGCCTTTCACCGCCACGCTCCAAGCTCTGGCTCTAAGTCCTAGTTCGGTTTGCCGAGCTCCATGGTCCAGAGACCCGGGAGAAACGCTCACATAGAACCCAGGTTGAATGATTAGACGCCTGGCTACCGCCCCATTGCGCGTGTGCGGAAGTAACTGCCCAACTGGAGTTCCCAGGCTCCCGGGGTACAGGCTCTCCATCCGAGACTACATTTCCCATAAGACCCACGGAACTCATTGTCCGAAAACCCTAGATGCTTCCACCTCTTTTCCGGGAGATCCTGGTGTCTTTGGGGCTGCTTCAGAGCCGTGCTCATTTTTAAAAGTGTTGCTGGCGGTGCTGTGACCTTACACTGTAGTCTTTCCTATAAGGCAGCCTACAGCCTTTATCACCAGCGGGAGGTGTGAGGCTGCCTATACAGCCACCAGCCCTACAGACAACGCTGGCACTGAGGAATAACAATGGTCCAACAAGGATGATTATATGAGGGAGGACCCCAAAACCGGAATTATCTTTTGGAGGGCATGCCTCTTGTAGTACTGTGGAGAGCAGGGCCAATAAAATGGCACTGGCCCCATAAATATAGCATAAAGTTTATAAAGCAAAGTGGAGTCACTCAGGTCAAACAAAATGGCTGTCAGTCAGCCATGACACTTTGGTTCAAGGAGGAAACTACCTAAGTCATAACAGATGTCTGGCAAGGAGACACACGTGAGATACCTGCACACGTGATCAGAACAGCCATGTACTACCCATAGGTTCCTGGGTAAATTCCCCTCTTGGCATCTGGGGTGCCAAGACATTTATAAAAAAGACCCAAAAGGGTGGCATACAACACTTTCAAGGTGTAACTGAGGCAGGTTGCAGACCACTGCTGAGACGGCGGAGCCCCACACACCAGACTGCTGCCTCATGCCACACTGATCTCCCTTGGCACTGGCCACCAGAGTCTCTGCCTGCTGGACTGAAGACTTCATCTGCCCTGCTGCCCACCTGGCTCCTGGGATCTTTCCTTGCCAGATGTTGAGAACTCCCTTGCCCACCAGCTGTCTCCCAGACCTGCAGACTGAGACTCTGGGACTCAGGTTCATTATCCCCCACTGATTGCTGTGTGTGTGTGTGTGTGTGTGTGTGTGTGTGTGTGTGTGTGTGTGTGTGTTATTCCTCTTAGATTGTTAGAGTGTGAGTAGGATATTGTATGATGATGCTCTACTTTGAGTGAACCTGCACTCAATAAAAGCCGAGTGAATAGCATAGTTACTGTGTTTGACTCTTGTCTATTCCTTGGTGCCAGGCTGCTCAGAAGCAGCTAGCTGAGCAGTTTGCCAGGCTGACTTACAGGAATGATTATATCACAAACATACATTCATGACAAGTACAGGCTTCCTCCACCCCAGGTGAGTGTTCTAGGAACCCATCTGTATCAGTGTACTAGCTGGTGGTGTTGTGAGACGCTGTGTTCTGCATTGGTGAATTTTTCTGAAGATTCTTTTACCACATTTGCCCATTTCACAATGGGTGATTTACGAGCACAACTGCCCACACCATGCTGAGTATTTAGCAGTTTTTGACCCAAAACAGCATGACACCCTTGCTCCCTCCCCCCATTCACCCAATCTCACCCTGAGTGACATTTTTGTTGTTGTTGTTGTTTCCCTGGATGAAAAAAGTCCTCAAATGGGAACCTTTTGCCATTGTGGACAAGGTAAAACAAAAACCAGCAGAAGTACTAAAAGGCGTCAAAATTAATGAGTTCAAAAACTGTTTTGAGCAGTGGGGAAAAGAATCTCAATAGTTGTACTGCATCAAATGGAGAAGAGTACTTTGGAGGTGACTGAAGTTTAAACATGTCATAATACATACACAATTTTTATAAATAAACTCCAGGATTTGGGGGTCCCCTCTTGTACTATTCACTCAACTTTTATTGATACAGGTTCAATCTCAATCAATAGCAACAACACTCAGAAACAATCAGTAACAATATCACACAGGAGAATTGGGGGAAAACAAACCCAAGTTCCAAGAATCCAGATCAGAGACGAGATCCCGGAGACAGTGGGCAGGGAACGTCTCGCAAGGCAGGGCCAGGAGCAGCGTCTCAGCGGCACTCTGCACACTCTGCAGAACGCAGAGAGGGGCAGCCTGTGGATGTCTGCGTCGGCTTCAGGAGGCTGCTGTCTCAGGCTGCTCTCGGGGTCTTCTGCTCTCATGCTCCTCAAAGCTGCAGCATCATGTTGTTTTGATCCATGTTTTGATCAGTTTCAATAAACACATGTTGTTTGGGTCAGTTCATAGTAAACATGTTTTGCTTAGTTCTGATAAGCACATGTTTATAGGACAGCTCTGATAAACACATGCGTTTCTTTGTTTTCTAAAAAATTCTTACTTATTTTTAGAGAGCGGGGAAGGGAGGGAGAGAGAGGGGGAGAAACATCGATGTGAGAGAGGAACTTTGATCAGTTTCCTCCCATATGCTCCTCAACCTGGAACCAAACTCATAACCCAGCCAGGCATGTGCCCTGACCAGGAATCAAAACGGTGACATTTCTCTTTGCCAGATGTCACCCAACCGAGTCACACCAGACAGGGAACACATGCTATTTTGATCACCCAATTCTGCTAAACATGTTTCAATCACTTAGGGCAGACGGTGTGTGCTCTCTACATGGCATCAGATCTGTTCTCCACAAAAAGGCAGGTGTATGCTACTGTGGACACCTGAGTCAGGGGTTTCCCCATCTTTAGTTCTTGCCTTCCTTGCAAGAGAAGAATTCAAGTGAGAGACATCTATGATGGAAGTGAGATAGCAAGTATTTATTAAATACACTTGAGCACGAAACAGCAAGCAGGCCCTCAGCTAGTCTGAGTGCCCCATGAATACTGGAAATAAGGTTGAAGGTTTTTATACATTTGAGCCCGAATCTGCAAGAGGCAGCCAACTAATTGGAGTGCCCCAACTACTGGGACTCCAGGAGTTTTATGTCTGTAGCCAGCCTCTAGGTTCCCCTTCCTCCTCCCTTCTCCAGACCTTGGGATTAATACATAGTTTCAAAGACTTTCTTTTCCAGCTAGTGGAAACAGAATTTCAAGAGATTCCCTCTTCCTGTGATATCAGTTTTACTTGTGATTTCCAGACCACTTGGCAATCTTATCCAACCAGGCTCAGGACTGTTGAGTAAATGGGTGAGACATGTCTTCCACCCCTCCCTGCCTTTGTTTACTAACTATCCTACCCAACAGTGTACATACCATTTTTATTTAAAAAGATAGACGTCCGAATTTTTAAATACTGGAATATAAGGAACTGTTCCGCTTGGTATGGAGAATGTAGCCCAGCCCTCAATTTGAAAAACCGATGGGGAGCAAGTCAGCACACAGGAACCGAGCCCATGAATCAGTTTTCCCATGGGGAATCAGGTCTGCATTGTACATAGGCTGTTTTGAGGCTTGCTTTTGCTAAAACTCCCTTACCCTGAATTGAGGCAGAAAATGTTTACTGTGTATCTTTAAAGTAACTTCCTAAAATCTGAGCTAAACCTCCCAAGTATGTAGTGTGACCAGATCGACCACTTTCCCCCTTGATCTGCAACATCCTTCTCTTTGAAGTGATTAGCAACATTCTTTCCTTTGTTATCTTCAAAAGGTAATCACCTACAGCAAACCTGTGCATAGTAAATGAGAACCATCCCCAATGTAATGTACCCAGAAAAGCAATAAAAGCCTGTCCAGCTGGGGGTTGGAGCCCTCTCTCTCACTTAGAGAGCTGCCATGCCATCCCTTTTTCTCCACAGGACTTCTGTAGTCTGTATGAATTTGTTCGTTACTGCCACAACACACAGAACCCACAGGCCGGAGCCCACATCACTGGGAAATCTAAATCAGCAGTATGTAAGAGAGTAACTTACCCTGACTCAGTTCAGTTTCTTCTAGCAATGCTGTGTAGCTTAAGTCAGGGAGATGAAGAGGACCCAACAGAGGAGACTCAGAAAAAATAATGGTGAGGTACATGAAAAAGTAGGCGAGTTTGGATTTGAAAAATCAAGGGAACAAAATGTTTCAAGAAGAAGGGCATAATCTACTGTGTTAATACTGCTGCTGTATCAACTAGGGTGAGGACTAAGAATTGATCACTGCATTAGCAATGTGGAAGTTGAATTAGCGATGCCATTTTGGTGTAGCGGCAGAAGTTTGAAAAAAGCGGGATGAAAGGATGAGAGGAGAGGAAGTGCAGAAAGCAAGTATAGACAGTACTTTTAAGGTTTGCTTTTTTAAGATGAGAAGGAAAATAAAGCTGTCTTTATGAGGATTGTGGGTCCAGAATTTTTTTAAAGGTGGAATTAAGAATTACAGTATGTGTGTGCCCTAATAAAAATGACACAGTAGCCCTGGCTGGTGTAGCTCAGTAGATTGAGCACTGGCCCACAAACCAAAGAGTTTGCAGGTTCAATTCCCAGTCAGGACACATGCCTGGGTTATGGGCCAGGTCCCCAGTGGGGAGCATGTGAGAGGCAATCATGTATTGATGTTTCCCTCTTTTTCTCCCTCCTCTAAAAATAAATAAATAAAACCTTAAAAAAAGAAAAAAGAAAGAAAGGGAAAAAATGACACAGAAGAGGAGGGAAACTGACAATACAGAGAGACAGGCCAGTGCAGGAGAAAAGTCCTTGCAGAGAGAAGGGATGGAATCCAGTACACAGTCAGAAGGACCAGTTGTCAGAGTGTGGTCCTCCATCCATTAAAATAAAAGGGGAGGCAGAGTTCATAGGCACAGATGCAGGTGGGTGGATAGATTTGGTGGTGGGAGAATGAGGATATCCTCTTTTGAGTGCTGCACCTTCTCAGTGAAATAGAGAACTGAAAGTGAAGATAGGAAGAAGGTATTAGAGGTTGGAGGGGAGAAACCATAAGAAATACTGTATTACATAGATTCTAATATAATTTTTTCATATGTCAACATCTGTGAAGTTGCTGCCTTACAAGTGATAGCATGCCATAATTTAACTGGCATTTTTTTCTTTCATAGTAGTGTGTAAAATAATGATATGTCTTGTAATCAATGACACATGAGATTTTAATATAGTTAGGAAGGTGAAAGGTGAATGGATTAAAGAAATGTAATACTGTTGCCTGACAGCATTAAGAGCCCATCTGATGTTAGTAGCCATGGACTTGACTGGCATTTTCAATGTCATAAAGACATATTTTCTATGTCTCATCTTTTAAAAGTCCATTCTTGACCTATAGCCCACTTGAGCAATTGCTCCATTTCCTAGCTTTCCTTCACAGAAAATTTTCTCTGAAAAGTTGTTTCTTGTTGCTGACTATATTTTCTCGCCTCCAATTTTCTCCTCAGTCCACTGTAATTGACTTCTTGATCCTCAGAACTCTCCTGAAAGTGCTCTTGTCAAGTTACTGATGAAACTCCAGTTGAAAAATGAAATAGACTCCCTGTCTTCATCACATGTGACCTCCAGGGTGTTCAACAAAATTGAAATAAAGTCATTGTGAGGTTTCTGGAACATCTCACACAAACTGGCTCCTCCTACCTCACAAAGACTATTTCTCTCCTTCTTTTACTGAATAGCCTTCCTGTGTTCCACATCCAAATGTTGGAGTACTCAAGGTTTGGCCTTGGGCCGTTTCTTTTTGTAGTTTCCCATGATTAGTCACATGGCTTTGAAAACCATTTACATGACCAATGACTGACAAATCTTTATCTTCAGCCCTCACCTTTTCCCTGAACTTCATACCTCCAACTTCACATGTCCAAACTACAGTATATATATATATACATATAATTTATTTTTAGACAGGGGAAGGGAAGAAGAGAGGGAGAGAAACACCAATGTGTGGTTGCCTCTCATGTGCCTCCTACTGGGGATGGCCCACAACCCAGGAATGTGCCCTGACTGGGGATCGAACCAGAGACCCTTTGGTTTATGGACCAGTGCTCAGTCCACTGAGCCACACCAGCCAGGGACAAACTAAACTCTTAATTCCTCCTCCTGCCCATCCCACAGGCACTTCTCCTAGTTCAATAAATACACCATCATCCACTTGGTTAATCAAGCAACAGTGTGAGTGTACATAAAACTGAATTGTATACTTAAAATGGTTAAAATTATAAATGCTGTTATGTATATTACTACAATAAAGTTTTTAATATTGAAAAAAATTTTAAGGAGAGAGAAATTATGGGAAGAGGCAAGAATTCATCTACTTTTACCCCAAAATATTAAACGAGATTTTTAAGGTCTCGAATAATCTGTACCCTGCTTACTTCTCTAGCTTTATCTCCTCCCACTTCCCTTCATCCTATTATTTAAATTCGACAAACTTCTTTGATCCCTGAGGCCACTACATTCTAAATCTGACAGACTGTTGCACCTAACCATTCTCTGCCTGAAAAAAGTATTGCTCAAACTCTCTCAACCCAGCTATTCACTCCGTTCAGGACTCAGCAATCTACCAGGAAGCTTTCCTGGCCTCACCAGTCCAGTGTAGACTTCCTTTTGTGAGTCTCTACTACCTTGTACCTCCCTGTACTAGCTCTTGTCACATAGCTCTGTTGTTGCCTGCTTACTTGACTGTATTTGCTGCTAGACTATATAGAGCATAAGGGCCAGAACTGAATCTCTTGGCTGGGTCCTCTCAAACCTTTGTGCCACAGGATGTCTGGAATCATTAGGTAAGCCTCCAAGAATATCATGGCCTTCAATTTCTGCCAAGATGGAGGTGTAGGTGGAAACATTGTGCCTTCTCACACAACCAAATTTAAAGACAACAAAGTTTTAGTAACAAAAAACACGGCCAAACCACAGAAAATTGAACTATACAGAAGTCCGACAACAACAAACCATTCAGCCAGACCAGTAAGAGGGGCGGAGCCAACAGGGGAGCAGGGTCGTGCAGGAAAGATCCCCTGACCCAGGACCTCAGGCAGCCTTGGGCAGATCCTGGGTGTGGGGTAGCAACAGGCGGACCCAGTGAGGGTGCAAGGCGGGAGGCTGACCGCGGTCACACATTCATGCCCAGATAAACCAGCGAAGGAGCAAGCAGTGAGACAGACCATGCAGGCCCCAGTGGCAGAAAGCAGCAGAGGGGACCGCCATTGCCCCTCTGTGACCCCACCCCCACATACAACCTCACAACCCAGTGACCTGGGTGGCCCCACCATGGTGAACACCTAAGGCTCCCCTCCTCATACGTAACAGGCGTGAACAGACCAAAGCATAGCTCAAGAAGAACTCAAAGCCCCAGAGCCGATAACTCTAAGCAACCAAGAAATAGCCAAACTTTCAGATGCACAGTTCAAAACACTGGTGATCAGGATGCTCAAAGAACTGGTTGATTTCAGTCACAAATTAGAGGAACAAATGGAGGCTAAACTAATTAAAATGAACGGAAATACACAGGAAACCAATAATGATGGAAAGGAAACTGGGACTCAAATCAAGGGAGTGGACCAGAAGGAAGAAAAAAAATGACCAAACAGAAAAATATGAAGAAATAAGAATTCAAAAAAAAGAGGAGAGGCTTAGGAACCTTCAGGACATCTTTAAACGCTCCAGCATCTGAATTATAGGGGTACCAGAAGGGGGAAAGGAACAGCCACCAGTGGAAAACTTATTTGAACAAATAAGAAAGGAGAATTTCCCCAATCTGGCAAAGAAAATAGACTTCCAGGAAATCCAGGAAGCTCAGAGAATCCCAAAGAATTTGGACCCAAGAAGAAACACACCAAGGCACATCATAATTACATTAGTCAAGATTAAAATGAAGGAGAGAATCCTAGATGCAGCAAGAGATAAGGGGACAGTCACCTACAAAGGAGTTCCCATCAGACTGTCAGCTGATTTCTCAAAAGAGACCTTACAGGCAAGAAGGGGCTGGAAAGAAGTATTCCAAGTCATGAAAACCAAAGACCTACGTCCAAGATTGCTCTACCCAGCAAAGCTTTCATTTAGAATGGAAGGGCAGATAAAGTGCTTCTCAGATAATATCAAATTCAAGAAGTTCATCAACACCAAGCCCTTATTATATGAAATGTTAAAGGGACTTACCTAAGAAAAAGAAGATAAAAAAGATGAACAGTGAAAGGACAGCAAACTCACAGTTATTAACAACCACACCTAAAACAAAAGCAAATTAAGAGAACAGCTAGATCAGGAGTGAACCATAGAAATGAAGATCATGTAGAGGGTTAGCAACAGGGGAGTGGGAGGAGGAGAAGGGGGAAGGTACAGAAAATAAGTAGCATAGACAGTAGATAGAAAATAGATGGGGGGCAAGAATAGTATGGGAAATATAGAATCTAAAGAACTTGAGACACATGGTCATAAACTAAAGGGGGGGTAATGGTGGGGACGGGGGGTAGGGTGGAGGGGAATGAAGGGGGGAATAGAACAACTGTAATGGCATAATCAATAAAAAAATAAATTAAAAAAAATGAAAAAATAAGAATAAAAAATCTTATTTTAAAAAACGGCACTCAACCCATTCTCTAGCCCAGGAAGCACATTTTAAAAAATTAAGAAATAGCTTTGTTGTGACATCTCCTTTCATTTACCCACTCACTGAACAAACATCCAAGAGGTCTGTAATGTGGGGTTCTAACACCTTAGAAAGAATTAATAAGAGATGAATTTACTAGATACACATATTTAGTAAAGACTAGTTTACTAGTGAAGTGAAGCAGGTGAAACTAGTTTACTAGTCTGCAATGAAGACTGCAAACCAGGGAAGTATTTGTAGAAAACATCATCAGTGACCCAAACAACAGATGCCTCAACTCTTTTGTGAAAAACCATAAAGTGATAAGCAGATGTTAACTTAAAATAAGGATCTGGGAGCTCAGGGAACTACTGAATCCTGACAGGGTTACTGTCTGAAACCAATTAATTTTCTCCTTTTCCTCGTCTTAAAGCTTCCAGTGTAAATAAGATGCTACAGAGCCCCGAGCAAGTTTTTCTCTTGAAGACTACTAGCTTAATACTATTTATTCCATAAGGTCCAGTTTACTATACTCCCAATTTAGTTTCAAACTTCCTCAGGCCTAGAGTAACATACAGTGCATGAAGCCCAACGACAGCAGGGAAAATTTACAGCATGATGGTTAAGAGCGTAAGCACTGCAGTCAGACATATCCAGGCTATAGTCTATTATATTCAAACTGTGGGATCTTAGGCAAGTTTTACAAGCCTTCTAAACCTCAGTTCCCTCACCAGGGATAATAATGAATACACTGATTTAATCATAAAAGGACTTAGCACAGTGCCTGGCTCATAACATCACTCAGTAAATTGGAAGTATTATTACAAGATTCCCATTGTCCATAAGAAAAAAATATGTGTAGCTCAGAAGGCCTCCAGAGGTAACCTATCATATCTCCCACAAACGTCCAGGGTTTACCAGTTCATGTATAACAGGGAGTTACAGTAACAATATTCACCATGTTCCACTGGTTCTCAGCCTCCCACTTAATATAGAAACTCCACCCCTGCCAACTCCTCCCCCCTCTATCTACTTCTGCCAGTTCTCTAGTAATTTCTCCATAAACAAGCCTTCACTTTCTAGGTGATGCCCATAATACTCTTTCCTCCAGCCTCTTTGGTGATGTTTACAGCTAAGGGCTCTACTGCCTTTTAAGATACACTGAAATTCCTTTTCACTATCTTTCCATCTTCCTTTAATGTTTTTATTTCTGTTGCACATTTTATAAAAAAGGTGTATACCATATATAACTTCTTGAGACTCACTTTTCCACTTAGTACCATGCTGCTAAGATTCATCCACATGTTGCATTGTCCTTTGTCTTGGCTGCTGTACCACTTCATTCACTCTTCTGATGATGGGCATCTGGGTGGTTTCTAGGTTTAGGTTTCACTATTGTGAAAGTGCTACAACATCTATTCTTGTTCTAAGAGTTTCTCTTAGCACATGCCTAGGAGTGGTAATACTGGATTGCCCAGTGTAAATGTTACTTCATATATATTTTTCGTATCTAACATTTTCATGCCATGACTTCCTGTCCTGCTTTATTTTCCCTTATTTCTCTGACCACATTTACTATGATTATTTAAAATTCCACTAATCCAGAAATACGTTTATATACGTACTTAAAGGCTTACAAGAGCATACACACAACCCTTTGTAGTGGTCACCTTTAAAGGATTGAGATTTGGGGAAAAAATATATCAGTCACCTGACCTGGACTGTGTTTCAGTTTATTTTATTATATAAAATGTAGAAAGCCTTGATTGAGAAAAAATAGGGTAGAGACTTAACAGAAACTAAGGAGTCATCTTAGGAAAGCACTGATTGCTTTGCTCCAGTCATGATGAGCCTCCATCTTCTTCGTAATCTATGGTGAGGCTCCAGGTACAGTACAATCCCAGATCTCTCCTGCTCACCTGAGCCTTGGACCTAGATTTGAGTGGTTAGAGGTTGAGAAAATATGAAAAGAACCAAAATAAGAACACTCTCCATGAAAGCTAAGCTCAGGGACTGGTCCTCTTTTACTCTGTTGAGTACATCAGGAGCAGGAAGGATCCAAGTTTCTTAAGGTATATGTTCTGTTACGTGGCTCATTTGGTTTGGGGCACCAGCGTGGAGCGGCGCGCTCCACTGCCCTTCCTCCACTCACAGATATCTGCATAGCTGCACGTCCAGCATTTCCAAGCCTCCTCCACATCAACCCCTTGAGGCTCTCTGCGGCCCACCCAGTAGGCCATATAGTGCTGCACTTTATTTCTCAGCTCCTTCTCTTCAAAGAACACAATCTCCGAACCCAGCAAAGCAGCAGTCTCTTGATGGATATACTCAATCTTCAGAGTGTCAATGACTGGAAGGTCAGACAGCGTTAAAGACAAGAAAACCAGCTCCATGAGGTCACCCAGGGATGTCACAGAGAAGCCTCCCTGCTTGGCATGCTTCAGCACTGAAGGTCCCAGTGGCTTTTCTGGATGCAATTTTGTGTGGTGTAGCAGGCTAGCAGCAGTCACTTTCCCTTGTACCATGGCATCAAAGATATATTTGTATAGGCTGACTTGAAAACGGTCTTTTTTCTTCTGAGCTTCCAGAGGGAGCACAGGGCCTCGGCGTGTCTTGAGTTCAACCAGTTCTAGTTCCCCCTTGGCTGTATAGTGCAGCTCATCAATCACTCCAACGAGAAGCACACCCTCCACTTCTCCAAACACTGGAAACTCTCTGATGTGCCCTCCTGACTGCAGGGTAGGAATCATTGATAACATATTCAGGAACTTAACTGCCCAAGTATCTTCTTTACTGGTGATGGGGATAGTCACAAGATCATGAACTTCCAGTTCTCTAGCTAGATGAATGCTGGCACCAGTGTCCAAAACAGCTGCCTTCTCAGGTGCCAGGAAAGCAGGAAGCTCCTTCCCATATACCATTTGCTGTTCACACCAGTTCTGAGTAGACAAGTCAGTCACACACAAATATTTAAGATGGAATCGCTCCATGGGTGATGAGACATCCAATCCTCTTTCCCACCTTGGTAAGCTTATGGACTTGCCATCCTTCCCAGGGAGTTCAGAAGAAGGGCTAGGCTTGCTTAGTGAAGCACTCAACTCTTGGCTATCTTCCAGGTCCAGAAACTCCGAGTCACTCATGTCTGAGAATCCCGAGGCCTCTGCAGACACCGCCTCCTCTTCTCCAGTCTCTGCCATGGCACAGCTCTGGACTGGGCCAGGTCCTGCGCATCATGTTAAACAAATGCATTATTCAAAAAAAATTCTCAAAAAAACCTTCAAATTCCAATGAGGTAAAAAGAATTATGACTATTTATTTACAGTCCTTAAAGAAGTCTATTTGTTTACAACCAATTGGTAATGCTAAGGAATTTCAGTACAATTTACAATAATAGGGCTCTTTGTTTTTGTTATTTTAACTAATTTTATTTAGTTATTTTTCTAGTACAGTTTTTTGTCTATTTCTCCCATCCCAGCCTCCCCTGCCCCTTGCTCCCCACCTCCCTCCCATTTCCACACCCCTTAGTTCTCATCCCTGTGTCCTTCCTATTTGTTTCTCCAAATCCCTCCCCCTTTTTCCCCGTAACTTCCCTTCCTACTCCCCTCTGGTCACTGTCCCCTTGTTCTCTAGTTCAGTGTCTTTGTTAATAATAGGGCTCTTTGTATCATCCATATATGACACTGAAGAATTTTTTAAGCCCTGGCTGATGTGGCTCAGTGAATTAAGTGCCAGCCTGTGAACTGAAAGGTCACTGGTTCAATTCCCAATCAGGGCACATGCCTGGGTTGTGAGCCAAGTTCCCGGTTGGGGGCATGTGACAGGCAACCTATCAATGTGTCTCTCGCACACCGATGTTTCCCTCCCTTTTGTCTTCCCTCCCTTCCCCTCTCTCTAAAAGTAAATGAAATTTTTTAAAAAATGTTTTAAGTACAAAATAGTTTTATTCCTGAATCTAGCACTAGCATATTATGTGTGATTAAGCAAATCATCTTCTTTGACATCAATTTCTTCATTTTTTTTTTAACTTTTTTAAAAAAGATTTTATTTATTTATCTTCAGAGGGAAAGGGAAGGAGAGAGGGAGAGAAATATCAATGTATGGTTACCTATCGTGTGTCCCCTGCTGGGAACTGGCCTGCAACACAGGCATGTGCCCTGACTGGGAATCGAACCGCGGTTGTTTGGTCCACAGGCCCGTGCTCAATCCACTGAGCTACACCAGCCAAGGCCTCAATTTCCTCATTTAAAAAATTTGAGTTTTTCCTTTTCTCCTTTAAAGTTCTACTGACTTGGGACATTATTTCATTATTTTAAGTGAACACGGATCTTTGTAAATGTTGGAACAATGTCTGACAGTTTACATGGATCATTGCTATAATGCCTTTGATATGAAGTTCTTGACTATGATAATAAATCTCAACTGCAAACTGTTTCTTGAGAAAGAAAACAGCTTTACGATGACAGTTCCTAAATTTAGTTTGCAGGAACAACATTTAAAGACTAACTATAGATACAAACAGATCTACTCATACACAAAGTAAGAGCCTAAAGAAATGAGAGAAGACAGTCACAGAGACATGTGGAAAGCAGTTGCTTTTTATACTTGAGATGTGTTAAGGAAATGGCAAGGAAAAAAGTTCTTGGGTTTTACTTTAACCTTACTGACTTTATTTATTTATTTACTTATTTTAAAAGATTTTATTTCTTTTTAGAGAGAGGAGAAGGGAGGGAAAAAGAGAGGGAAAGAAACATCAATGTGAGAGACACACCAATTGGTTGCCTAAGTGCTCCGACTAGGGTCCAACCTGCAACCCAGGCACATACCCTGACCAGGAATCAAACTGGCAACCTTTTGCTTTGCAGGACAACACCCGACCAACTGAGTCACACAGGTCAGAGCTACTCTTACTGACCGTATGAATTATCCTCCTAACATTTTATTTTCTCCCTCCACAAGACAGTAGTTAATGATGGAAAATGTCTGTCAATAAGCATTATTCAAATATCCCTGTGTATAAATAACAGTGATATTTATTGTGCGGTTATTGTGTGCTAGACACTGAAAGAAGTGTTTCGCATGCACTATCTCACTATTCTACCATAGGAAAGGCGCTTTAGAAGTTTTTACCGTGAAAAATTTCATACATACAGAGAAACAGAAAGAGAGCAACGACCACCTGTGTACACACCATCTAGATAAGCAACTGCTGACATGTTATATTTGCTTCTTTCACGTGCGTTTTGTTCTTTGGCTGAACTATGTTAAAGTAAATTACAGACACCATAACACTTCAAACATAAATGCTTCAGCACACATTTTCAAACATGTGCATCCTCCTACGTTAATTACAACACTATCCTCACACCTCACAAAATTAACAATTCCCTAAGCACTCTGGTCTGTATTCAGATCTCTCCAACTGCCCTAAAACGTCTTGGATAGCTTTTCTTTAAACCAGTCAACAAAGACCACATCTTTCATTTGATTGCTTTGTCTTTCAAGTATTTTCAATCTTAAGAAAGTGGGCAAATGAAAAAGAAAGGAAAGAAAGAAACTAGGCAAATTATCTGGTGACGATACTCTTTTTAAGCCTTCCTCCTAACCTCACCTATCTAACCCTGCGCAGAGAGAAAACAAAACAAGGAACGACAGTCCACTGGTATCTGACTTTGGGTGCCAGAACAATGAGCAATTTGACACAGAATTTAAGCTGACTGAGGCAACTCTGAGCCAAGTCTCCTCATCGCTATTCTACTGAGCAATAAATAAGTTTAATGCACCAACTCCAAGTTTAAAGCTTAAGAACTGACGCCTTAAAATGGTATACTGGAATAGTAATAAAACACAGAAAGCACATTTGCACAAGTGTCTTAAACTGTAAAGGGGCCTTAAATTATGATAGCTTCAAAATGAGGTATGTGATTTGGAGCATGAAATTCCTTTAGAGAGAGTATCTTTACCCTCTACCAAGAAAGTAAAGTTCAATAACAATGAACTCTGCATACTCTGGGGTTCCCCCCTCATGGGGAAAGGGCACTAAATCCAAATTAACCGACCTTGAACATATTTTATTTCAAATATCTAGACCTGGGCTGTTCAATCTGTAGCAACCAGCCACAGATGACTAAACTTGGACTTAAATAAAACTTAAAACTCATTTTTTCATTCACAGTAGGCACATTTCATGCTCAGTAGCTACATGTGGCTAGTGGGTACCACATTATCAGGCACAGAGAGAGAACATTTCCCTGATCTCAGAAAGCTCTACTGGACAGTAATGTTTTATACTATTTCATGTTTGTGTATTAACTCTCCAAAGAGAGAGTAAGCTCTTGAGAGGTGTGGACTTTCTACTGGTTTTTCATACAACATTGAGAACAGAGTAGGCCTGAACTGGTAAGTGAAGAGTTGTATGGAAAAGACGCAAAGGGGGTCAGGGGAGGTGCATTCTCTGTGGAATTACTCATCTTAAAAAAAGGAAATAACACACCAAGGACGGACAATTGAGACTCTGGTGTGTTGCCTGGACTTTCCTATGCAGAAAAAAATCTCAGCAAGAGTGTAAGGCAGTGCACGGCATCCTGAAATGCAGTTGGAATCTTCTGAATGCGAGATGATTTCACACGGTACATTGATCAACATTTTTACATGTACCTTAGAATAAATGTAGAGCTATTAGAGCATCCATCAAATGTAGAATTTCACAGATAGTGTTTCGTAGGACAAGTCTGATTTTAAATAAACGTAGTAAAAAATTAAAATATGAGAATAACAATCCAAGTAGTACACAGGCATGACACAAATCATTAGGTGGCAAGTGAATGAGATATTCGGGAAACGTCTACGGATCTGGATTCTGAACATAACCCCAAATCAGTAGTACTTGGGCATATGCTACCGGCCTTAGGAATACTCTCCGGCAAGTTTTCCGGAGGCTACCCACTCCTCTTTAAAATTGGAGTACTCCTTCCACCTGTGCTCAGTTAACCACATGACTGAGGGGTAAAACAGTATATATGTTAGCAGTCAACAAATGTGGATCTTCTCCCCTTCCCAAGGAAGAGACGGTGTATTCATTCCCTCTGACAAACGAGATTAAACCTCAGGAGAGAGGAAAACTACTCACCCGAGACTTGGTTGATCTTCCTCCTCACAGGGAAAGGCAGAATGCAAAATGACAACGCTGGGGGAGGATGAAGAAGCTCCGAAAGACCAGGTCTGCACCGAAGAATCCAGATTAGAAACTGGGCTTTGCTGTGGCAGAACGGGAACTTTTGGTCCTTTCTCAGCTGTCCAGTCCCTCACACTGTGGCATTTCTTCCTCTCTGATCCACACGGCACAAACCGTACCCCACCCCGGGTCCTGGGTAACGCTTGCTTCTCTCCAGGGGAAAATCTTCCATGACTTCTTCACTTTCCCCATACCCTGGGTGCAGTTACTGGACCCATTCCCTGCTCCCTGCAAGTAAAAGGATAAAAAAATATATATATAACCAAGCCCCCTCCGCCCCCACCCCCACCCCAGGAGCTTCGCAGTCCCCTCTTCCAGTCCCAAGCACGGTCCAGAAGTTCAGGTGAAGACCTCAGGTCACACAGAGGCTTTTGTCTTCTGATGGGTTCCTGCTGCTTAAGAAGCTACCACTGACTTTGCCCCCGGCACCCTACTTGTTTGGAGCAGCCCAGACTTACAGGCTTGCTTTCAAGTGCCCCAACCCACGATCTCCCCGGGAGTTCCATGCATGCCCTAAAGTTTACTGAGCGCTTCCTGCAATGTCCTGGAGGAGTCGGGAATGACAGCAAGGGGTCGCTGGCCTCTGGAAGGGTGAAAGGTCCAGAGCCCGCCGGAGCCTGGCCTGCAGCTGCCACCCCGGGAGGAAGGTGAGGGACGCGGAAAAAGCGGAGACAGACCCCCGAGCTCCAAAACGCAGCCCCTCAATCCGCCACCACCATTGGCCGGCGGATGGAGCCCCTCAATTCGCATTGAGATGACGCAGCCACTCAATCCGCCACCACCATTCCCCGGCCTTCCCCTTACCCTGGACACTCCTGCGAACCCCGGACTCCACCAGGCTCCGCCGCGGCCTCGGAACCCAGGCTGGACTATACTCACGACCCGCAGTAGCACGTTGCGCGGCAGCCCTCGGCTTCCGGTGTTCGCACAAAGCTGCCGCTGAACTAGGCCGGGAACGCCCCGCGGCCGCTCAAGGACCGCCCCCTCCCAGAGGCCTCACGGGCGCCCTCTAGAGCTCACGAGACAGCGGCTCCCACGGGAGTCCTAGCTGCGGGTGTCCTCCGCTCCCTGCAGATACGGTCTGCGCGCCACTGGCTGTGCGCTTGGTTTAATCCGGGTCGGAGCTGCGCTGTCACTTGACCTGGAAGTGCCCGTTCTGGCGGGGTTTTCTGGCAACTGCCAAGCCAGCGTCGGAGAAAGGTGTGAGCACGTCCCTTTCTTCAGGGCACCTGGCCTCAGTCCTTTAAGTGCTGCGTCTTTGCTCTGCCACCTTGGGTGATGTATGCCTCTCTGCACCTTGCACCAGCATTCCCAGCGCTGAGAAAAAACACGAACTCACTTTTCACCCTGGCGCTTGTCTCATCAGTGTGTTTCTCTTTTCTATTTACTTACTCTTCCTGGAATCTTTTTTAAAAGATTTTATTATTTTTTTTTTTTTTTAGAGAAGGGAAGGGAGGGAGAAAGAGAGAAACATCAATACGTGGTCGCCTGTCACGCGCACCTTTCCCCCACTGGGGACCTGACCCACAACCCAGGCATGTGCCCTGACTGGGAATCAAACTAGTGACCCTTTAGTTCACAGGCTAGTAGTGCTCAATACACTGAGCCACACCAGTCAGGACTATTTACTTCTTAATTAACCTTTCTTATTGGGAAATATTACACAATTGCATTTTAAAGTACAAAATCAAGATAAGTGTAAATAATTATTGAGCAGACATGTTATCATTGGAGCAAAAATAAAAGTTTCAGGCCCTTCCCAAATACACGCCATACCACCTTCTTGAGGAAACCACTAGCCTGACTTTTATGACAATCACTTTCTTCACTGTTCTTCACTTTATCACGTATTAGGAAACTTGCTTTATGACAAAGGTGGAATTGCATAGCAACGGAGAAAAGCTGGTCTTTTCAATAGCAGTTCTGTGACAGTGGGGTATCCTTATTAAGTGTATACAAAATGAGACCTCTGACTTCATCACAAAAATCAATTTCAGAAAGATTAAAGACCTAAATGTGAAAAGCTAAGTGTTAGGGAAAGCCCCAAAGTCTAAATCCAGGGTAGATTCTGATTCAAATTTGTAAGAGCTTTAATAGGAGAAACTTGCTTGTACTGGCAAAGCTCCCAGTGGTGGCCAGCTGTGAAGAAATCCACTCCCTCCCAAGATAGGGTCTCTTTTATAGGGGGTTAATAGTAAAACCATGTGGAGAAAGAACAATGCATTTCTAAGTTAACAGATAACATCAGGCAGTTATCCACATTCTATACACTCACCCTCCTTCCTGGGGGTGTGTCCTTTATCTCTCAGTGGTATTCCAGCTTTCTGGGTAGTTAGCGAAGCCTGAGGCTACAGAGTTAAACAGCCACAGAAGGTTAATCGGAGAGTCCAATCTCTCCCAGGTACCTTTTCTGCTGGAGGCCTGTTCATTTCTGACTTCCCTTACACTAAACTATAAAGTTCTTAGAAGATAATAGGAGGAAAATACCTTTTGGACTTCAGATTAGGGAAAAAAAATCTTAAATAAAAATACAAAAATGCTTTTAAAAACTACAAAAAATATTTTTGGTCAGGTGAAAAAACTTAAATGTGAATTGTGTTTAATAGTGTCAATTATAAATATCCCAGATGTGATGAACACTTTGTGGTCATAAAGGGAAACAAACATCCTTGTCCTTGGAAATGTGAGAGTTAAGGAAAGCCTAATTAACTGAAATATGAGTAGGCATTGCTGGACTGAGGCTGGAGGTTTCTGCTTCCTCCCTAGTGTAACCTTATTTCACCAGGACGTAACTCCCAGTGCCAGGAAAGCCCCTTCTCAACCCATTCACACACTGATCTACCTTCAGATGGAGTTGGGAGTTGGGGACAAATGCTGCTGGGTAGAGTGGAGCAGAAGAGATTCAGAAGCAATCATGAAATCCATGGGGGAAGGAAATATCCAAGACAGCAGAACAATGTTCCCAAAAGCTTTCATTCTCAACTGTGGGACTCAAATCTCAAAAAAAGATGCCCTTCCCCAAAAGCCTATCCTAAGAAGTTTGAGAATTTAAGGCAAATTCACTGATTTAGTGTTTCCATCCCCATGGACATCTATAACAAAGGAAATACTGTTTTCTTTTTAAGATTTTATTTTTATTTTTTTAGAGAAAGGGGAATGGAGGAAAGGAAGAGAAACATGGATCAGTTGCCTTTCACATGCCCACAACCGGGGACCTGGCCTGCAACCCAGGCACGAGCCCTGACCTGTAATCAAACCAGCAACCCTTCAGTTCGCAGGCCAGCGCTCAATCCACTGAGCCACACCAGCCAGGGCACAAAGGAAATACTGTTAAATGCAAATGGTCTGTTTTCTTCTCTTTCCATCTTTCCTTCCTATTTTGGTTACAGAATTTGTACCTCTAACATCACACCTATGACAGTCTACAATGTTTATCTTCATGACAGAAGTGTTGGTCTGTATCAGTACTCTAAAGCTTCACCGTCCAACTCGGTAGCCACTAGCTACATGTGGCTCTTAAGCACTTGAAGTGTGGCTGGCCCAAAGTGAGGAATGCTGTAACTGTAAGTACACACTGTATTTTGAAGACTTAGTATGAAAAAGAATACAGCCCTGACTGGTGCAGCTCAGTGCACCGTTCTGCTCAGGGTGCTGTTCCTGGTCCTGGTCCACTGTTAGAATGTGTTGCAGCCCCTGTCTTACAAGACATAGCCCAATATCTCTCTAATACCGCCCCTCTGAGACTTAAATATCCCCAGATGATTTCTGCTATTTGCAACCTAAAGAGTTCCAACTAATACAGGGGTGGGCAAAAGTAGGTTTATAGTTTTAATCCAATAAATAATCCAAGACTAAACTGTTTCTAGTACTCACAGCTGTAAACTTACTTTTGCCCACCCCTGTGTAGTTTAGTTAAAGCCCATAGGGGGAGGAGAAAAGTGAATGGAGTATCATAAAAACTTTAATAAAGTTTTACCAGGTTAAAAAAATGAGCATGTACAAAATCACTGTAGTCCTGACCTTCCCGTATTCACAACATAATGAGCAATGTTAACTGATTAATGCTGTCATTCATTGCTTATTAATCAGAAGGTTGTGTCCTTGCTCTTTCCTGTCTCCCAGGCACTAGAGTTGTTGATGGAAAAATGTCCTCTTCCACCAGCTAAAACTGTGATGGGCTTCGCTGCTATTACATAAGATGCAGATTCCTCTCTGGCTCCAGGGATGGCAAGCACTGATCTTTCTGGGGATGCAGCTCAGCTGGTACTTCTAGGCTATGTCACTGAGATAAGCTGATACTTCTTTGATGGCTGATAGGTGTGTTGGTCTTAGAGATGCTTCAGCACCAGATATAAAGTTTTATCTCTTGCTGGTGGAAAAGAAATTGGTCCAACCACTATGAAGGTCAACTTGGCAATATCCATCATACAAATGAGTACACCCTCTAGCACAGGAATTCCAGTTTTAGGAATATACCTTACATATGTACTTGCATGTGTGAGAAGTGAAAATATGTAAGACTATTCATTGCAACATTATATAAACAAAAGATTGGAAATCCAAAAGTCCATCCCTAGTAGACTAACTAAACATACATTCAAAACAGGGAATATTATGCAACTATAAAAAGAATAAGCTGGCAATTTATCTACTGGTGTGGAATGCCCTCCTTGGTATATGGTTAAGTAGAAAAGGAACGTGCAGATGCACTTGTATAGGAGGTTGCCATTTATGCTTAAAAAGAAAAACTGTATACTTGTATTCTCTAGGACATAAATAGAAAATTCTCTGGAGGGATACACAAAAAAAGTTTTGGTTATAAAAAATGGCTGCCTTTAGGTAGAATTTGATGGTGGGAACAGAGGTCTGTGCTTTTTGAACTTTGTGCCATGTGATAGTTTTCCCCACTAAAAAAATAAAATTTTAATTTAAAACATGGGAGGTGGTGACATTTTAAACAGTAGTTCCCAAATGCCAACCTGTAAATCAATGAAGGCCCATGAATAAGTATTTATTAATTCACCACAAAATCAGAAAAATAATAATGTGTGAATTTCCCACACTGCTGAATACAAAATGGGCAAAATTAGAAGTTGGTATCATTATATCAATAACTCCAATTTAGAGCCCTAAAATTTAAAAGTGTAGAATCACTGATTTAGACTTGGCTTTTGTCCTCATGTTGGATAATCTGTTTTTACTCATTATCTCTGAAGGCATTCCTCCTGTGTATTTCATGGTGCCGGGTAAGTGATGAATTATAGCTGAAGGCTTTTCCACATTCATTACATTCATAAGGTTTTTCTCCAGTGTGATGTCTCTGATGTTTCTTAAAGGATGAGTCGTGCCTGTAGGCTTTTCCGCAGCGGTTGCACTCATATGCTTTCACTCCTGTATGAACAGTTTTATGGTTGCTAAGGTGGATCCTCTGCCTAAAGGCTTTCCCACACTCTTTACATTTGTAGGGTCTCTCCCCAGTATGGATTCTCTGGTGATGTGTCAGATATGCTCTATGACTAAAGGTTTTACAACACGCAGTGCACGCATAAGGCTTCTCCCCAGTATGAATTCTTACATGTTCACTGAGGTGTCGAATTTGTCGAAAGGTCTTCCCACATTCATTGCATGTAAAGGGTTTCTCTCCAGAATGAGTTCTCAAATGTTGGATCAAACTAATGTTCTGGCTGAAAGCTTTCTGACATTTATCACATGCATAGGGTTTCTCCCCAGTGTGAGTTCGGTGATGCTGATTAAGAGAGGAGCGATGTCTGAAAGCTTTGCCACATTCTTCACATTCAAAGGGTTTCTCACCAGTATGGATTCTCTGGTGGGTGTTAAGAGACGCGCTTTGACTAAAGGCCCTGCCACATTCCTTACATCGGAAAGGTTTCTCACCAGTATGAATTCTCATGTGTTCTGTAAGATGAATGGGTTGTTTGAAGATTTTCTCACATATGTTACATTCATAGGTTTTTGTTCTTATATAACTTGTTGGACGGTTCATCAGATTTAATTTGTATTTGTTCCTCTTTCTAAGTGTGTCATATTTATGGTACCTCTGTTCTACAATAACATTTGAACTCACAATATTTTCCCCAAATTTATTAGTTTCTTGGCCTCTCTTCTTATGGGTCAAGATGGCTTGTCTTACATTTCTTCCCTGGGTGTCCTGAGGCCTTTCGAACTCATCGTTGTATCTGGAGACTTTTCTCAATGTGGAATCAATGACATCATCCCTCACGAACCTTTCCGTCACAATGCCCTGATATAACTGTTCCTGTAAAATATCATTCTTTGCAGTTGACATACTGGTTTCTGTTTTACTCTTCAAGTCTGAAAGAAGTGGAAAAAATACAAACAATTCATATTCTTTGTGCTTTGGAATCAGTTAGTGTTGTGTATATGGAATAGAGATTTAGATAGCAACACATATGAAGTACATGAGATTTTAATTATATTTAAATATGGCATCCTGGAGAGGTAATGGAAAATTAAATTAAGAGACAGTAGCTCAGTTGGTTGGAGCATCATACCACACACTAAAGGTCTGCAAGTTTGATTCCCAATAAGGGCACATTCCTAGGTTGCAGGTGTGTACAGGAGGCAAGCAACTGATGTCTCTCTCTCAGAGAACATAATTTTAAAAAATATACCATCTACAATGGCAACAAAATATAGGATCTTCAGGATGAATTTGACAAAAGAGATAGAATATGCACAATGGGGAAAATCCTAAAATTTAATTAAAAAAAATTAAGTTGAAAAGAGTATGGTTTTGTGAACCAACTCCAGTAAATTTTAAAAATAAATAAAAATTAAATTCTAAGAAAAATAAAAAATAGGAAATATTATTAAACAAAGCAATATACAATGTTCCTGGGTAACAGAACTTAATATCATAATACTAATCCCCCTGAATTGATCTAGAAATTCAATTCTATTCCAGTAAAAATACTACCAAAGTATTCGTGAGTGTGTGTGATGCACACTATATAATTTTGATGCATTTTATGTATCTAAATACAGATATCTAAATATATATGTATTTATATATCTAAATATATATCTAAATATATAGATACATTTATATATCAAAATATATCTATATATATATTTCATGTACTCATTATATAATTTGTATGGAAAAGCACAAGGCTAAGAAAAGACAGGACAATTTTAAAGAACAAGGTGGGAGAACTACCTCTACCAGATATGAAGGTTCACTTCATAGAGTGAAGTGCACGTGGAGTGTACATGAAATACAGTAAGGAAGTAAGACAGCCTGGAGAGCCCAGAAACAGACCCAAGCATTATAAACTTGACAGGTGACAGAGTGCCATTAACTATTCATAAATAACTATTCACAACTACAACAAACTACAAATGATTCTGGGGCTGATTATCCATGCGGAAAATATTAAACCAGATAGTCATTTTACACTACATATAAAATAAATTCCAAGTGCATTGAACCTAGATATGAAGGCAAATTTTTAAAAATACAGGATAATATCTATCTTTTCTAAAAATCAATTAAAAAGTAAAAACAATAACAAAACAATTGGAAAAGAATATATATAAGAAATTAATGAAAGAGGAATCCCGGATGGTCAATAAACATGAAAAATATGTTCCCTCTCATTAGTAATCAGAAAAATGAAAGAAATAATACACCATATTCACCCAATGAATTGACAAAAATTTTAAAGTTGTCAGTGCCAAATGTTGACAAAGATGCTGAATTCTGGAAACTCTTTAACACTTGCTGATGTGAGTACACATGGGTGCTACTGAGAGCAATGTGGTCACACCCAGCAAAAGGAAGAAGCGTATACTCCATGACCCAACAATTCGATTCTACCAATTATCTCAGAGAAACACTTGCATCTGTACCTAAGAGAACACATGAAGATTTACTGTAGCATCTCTAACCCCAAATTTAGAAGAGTATAAAGTCTATCCACAGGAAAATGGATAAATTGTGACTTACTAATTCAATGGAAATGAGTAAACACAGAAAATTATAAATAGTGTTGAATGAGAAAAGTGAAAGAATAAGAACATGCAAAACAATGCAATATATTGTGTAGGGGTATATACAAGTAGGAAAAGCACAAAGACTCATGGGAATATTAATATTTAAACTCAGAGGACTTCGTTACTTGAAAAGGTAGGAAAGGAAAAACAAGGCTTCAACTGTGTTTTAGTGGGTTTTTTTTAAGATTTTATTTTTTTATCTTTAGAGAGGAAGGGAAGGAGAGAAATATCAATGTATGGTTGCCTCTTGTGAGTCCCCAGCTGGGAACTGGCCTGCAACCCAGGCATGTGCCCTGACTGGGAATAGAACCGCAATCCTGTGGTTCGCAGGCCAGTGCTCAATCCACCGAGCTACACCAGCCAGGGCTCTGTTTTAGTTCTTAATTGAGGTGGAGGCTACACAGAAATTTGCTATAATGCTCTTTATGCCTTTCTGAATATGAAACATATTTCATAACATGACAGTTTAAGGAGATTGTTGAAGACCACTGAATTTGAGAATGAATCCTGTGTTAATTTCTCTCACAGAAGTTGTCATTAAGTAGTTGCTACAAAAAGTTAAGATATGTGCCCTGGCTGGCTGGTGTAGCTCAGTGGATTGAGCATGGGCCTGCAAACCAGGAGATCGAGGTTCAATTCCCAGTCAGGGCACATGCCTGGGTTGCAGGCCAGTTCCCATTGCAGGCCAGTTCCCAGCAGGGGACATACAGAGGCAACCATATATTGATATTTCTCTCCCTCTCTCCCTCCCTTCCCCTCTAAAGATTAAAAAAAAAAACAAAACAAGCTAAGATATGTGAGTTAAAAAAAAGAATGAGAATTGAAGCTGGGATTATAAAATGAAAGATGGCCCTAGCTTGGTAGCACAATTGATTACAGTGGTGTGATTCTGATATGCCAAGATTGTGGGTTTGATCCCTGGTCAGCACACATGCAAGAAAACCAATGAATGCATAAATAAGTGGAATAACAAATCAATGTTTTTCTCTCTCTAAAATCAATCAATAAAATGTTTAAATAAAATGAAAGATGGTGAAAGTGGAACTAGAATAAGAAAATTAAAGATTTGAAGAATGCAGAGAGAGTCTTGAACAGAGATCTGTTTTCTGTGAGGAGAGACCATATACATTTGAATGAACAGAGAAAGGAACTTTCCACTGGTAGACTTCAGGATACTGAAGAAAGAGGGAAAATCAAGCTTAACGAGGACAAGACGTCTCTTCCTTCCAGAGTGACTTTTGCATGGTCAAGTAAAGGCAAGGAGAGACAGAGAGAGGGTGAAACCAGGTCTAGTGCATGCCCTGTCCAGGGGCCTCAGCCTACGAAGCCTTCGGGCTCACCTGCACTGTGATGTTCTAGGCCATCTTTCTCTGTTATCCACGGCTCTTCTCCTTTTTCCAATTTGGAAATCACCCTGGGCTTGGAAAGTTCATATCCTGCTTATGAAGAAAAAAAAGAGTATGAATGTTTATGTTGAGGTCTAAGAACCATCCCCAGAATTTATTCCCAGTCCTAGGTTCTCTGAAAAAGGAAAGGAATGCTATAGTTTGTCTTTGTATCAGCTCTACAAAGTATAGGAAGGAGAATCAGATATGCCCTGGCTTCACACTCAAAGGAATGAGACATCTCTAACACAGAACCCAAGGCCAAAATCCAGGGAATTCATGACATCTAATAATTTAGAAATAATGACCCTTCTGGGGGCTGGAAAGAGGTATTCCAAATCATGAAATCCAAAGACCTACAACCAAGATTGCTCTATCCAGCAAAACTTTCATTTAGAATGGAAGGACAGATAAAGTGCTTCTCAGATAAGATCAAATTCAAGGAGTTCATCATCACCAAGCCCTTATTATATGAAATGTTAAAGGAACTTATCTAAGAAAAAGAAGTTAAAAAAAACATGAACAGTGAAAGGACAGCTAACTCACAGTTATTAACAACCACACCTAAAACAAAAGCAAACTAAAAGGACAGCTAGATCAGGAGTGGAAATACAGAAATGAAGATCTCAAGGAGGGTTAGCAACAGGGGAGTGGGAGGAGGAGAAGGGGGGAGAAGGTACAGAAAATAAGTAGCATAGACAGTAGATAGAAAATAGATGGGGGGGGCAAGAATAGTATGGGAAATATAGAATCTAAAGAACTTGAGACACATGGTCATAAACTAAAGGGGGGGTAATGGTGGGGATGGGGGGTAGGGTAGAGGGGAATGAAGGGGGGAATAGAACAATTGTAATGGCATAATCAATAAAAAATAAATTAAAAAAAAAGAAATAATGACCCTTCTATAGTGGGCAGGTTTCTGGATAAGTGTGTGGCCCATCCTTACCCACGGAGACCAGGTTCCCGTAGTTCTCCAGCATTACCTCCCGGTAGAGGTTCCGGTGAGCAGGGGTCAGTTGCCCCCACTCCTCCTGGCTGAAGTTCACAGATATATCCTTGAAGGTCACCTGTTCCTAGAATATCAAATACATTGCTTTTCAGCCACAAACCACCTCCATTAAGGCCCATGGAGTTCTGAGAGTATTCTACATTCTGAGAGATCCTAAACTACTCTTACTGGAGCCACCTCTGGATCTGTTTGGAGAGTCTCTGGAGATTACCATAAATAATTAAATACACAGAAGGGCAGATGGCCATATGTGCCTTAGAAGAAATTCAGCAGGACAAGGGGAGTAGGGAGAGCCACGGTGAGGGAATGGATGGATGATCTTCTATGTAGGGTGGTAGGGGAGGGCCTCTCTGAAAGGGTGATATTTGACCAAAGATCTGAATTCAGTGAGGAAGAGTTTTGTGGAAATCTAAGGGAAGAGCATTTGAAGCAAGTACAAAGTAACTATGGCGAGATTGTCATTTGCTTGTTTGAGGAGCAGGAGAGTGAACGGTATCACTGGAGGCAGATTAGTAAAGGGGAAAGTGGAAGAAGATGAGATCAGAGAGGCCCAGGGAGCAGAGGGGACAGATAATTTTAGTACTTATTGCCACAAAGGCCAATGCATTCCTGCTGAGCTTAAATTCTGAGGCCCTGCTGGAGTTAAATGTAAAGATGAATAAAACTGTCTGGAGCTGTAGTCCTAGCTCCCCCTTCCTAGCCCAACTACTAAGAAGATAACAAAAGATCAGCCCCTCTGCGGTGGTGTCGTGGGCACTGGGAGCTGGGGTAATCACACGTGAGCGCCATCGAAGCTGTGTCTCAGCCAGAGCTCAGCCACAGCTCCAAGAGGAATATGAATAATCAGTCCCCCACATTGAGTCCCGCCACCGCAGGGAAGGGCCTAGAGTCTCTCAAAAATAAAAAGAATGAAACAAACTATATATACAAGGTGTGTCTCGAAAAAGTCCAGCCATCGTTAGTATAATAAGAAGGATTTGCACAAAATCAATGTAACCTGGTAGCCAAGAAGAGTGGAATGCACATGTGTAAACAAGGACGACTTCACTGTACTAGTCAGTGGGGGTGGTAGATGCTGTTGAGTGAGCATGTGTACTGTGTGGCCACCGTACTCAAAATGACTGAGTACAGCAACAAATCTGCATCAAATTTTGGTTTAAGCTTGAACATTCCTCTGTGGAAACTATCTGGATGATTTAGAAGGCCACAACTATGGACACCTGGTGATTGGCAGCTTTGTCATGACAACACCCACTCATGTATCATGTCTCACGTAGAGTTTTTTGGCAAAAACATCAAATCACCCAGGTGACTCAATTACCCTACGGTCCAATTTTGATGCCCTGCAACTTCTGGCTTTTCTCAAAGCTAAAATCACCTTTGAAAAAGAAGGGATATCAGACTATTGATGAGATTCAGGAAAATACATCTGGGCAGCTGATGGCAACTGGGAGAACTGTGTGAGGTCCAAGGTGCCTACTTTGAAGGGGACTTAGGCATCATTGGCCTGTGTACAATGTTTCTTGTATCTTCTTCAGTAAATGTGTCTATTTTTCATATTACCAGGCTGGATACTTTCTGGACAGGCCTCATATTCATTTAATCTTCCACTGTTTCTTTATATACAGTATCTACCCTACAATAAAAAAAATTATTAGACTTGTAAATAAATGAGGGAAATCTGACCTATAATTTAAGAAAATAAACGTTATTATTAGCACACCCATAGGTGACCAAGTCATTGAAATGAGCAGAGAAGAAAATTAAAGCAATTATTAAAATATGTTAAAGATTATACAATAAAATATAGAAGAGGTGAAAACTTGGTGGTAATTGAGGGGAGAGACAGAAATGCTAAAAAAAAGAACTAAATGAAAATTCTACACCTGAAAAATATAATATCTAAAAAACCCACTGGATGGACTTAATAGTGCACTGGACCCTGATAAAAATGAGATCAGTGAAACTTAAGACAGGTATATAGATGTTATTAAAACTGAAGCACTGAGAGAAAAACACCTGGATAATATCCAGTGGTTTAATATATATGTAACTAGAATCTTAGGAGGAGATAAGAGAATGGGCAAAAATAATATTTGAAGAAATAAAGGCTAAAAAATTTCCAAATTAACCCACAGATACAAGATGCTCAGGAAGCCCCAGAAGGAACAAATTCAAAGAAAGCCGTGCCTATGCACCCCACTTTCAAAGTGCTAAAGAGTGAAGTTAAAAGGGAAGATTGTAAAAGTAGCCATAGGAAGGAAGGAAGGAAGGAAGGAAGGAAGGAAGGAAGGAAGGAAGGAAGGAAGGGAGGAAGGGAAGGAGGGAGGGAGGGAGGGAGGGAGGGAGGGAGGGGAAAGAAGTAAGGAAGGAAGGAAGAGGAAAGAAGAAAGGAGGAAAGAAAGGAGGGAAAGTTGGCATTTAAAAAAGCAGAAAGGCACTCCAGATACATGCAAACAATGAGAATAACAGCTGACTTCTCATCCCAAACAATGCAAGCTAAAAGATCATGCAACACCTTTAAAGTGCTTAAAAGAAAGAACAATCGATCTAGAATTCTGTATCCAGCAAAAGATGCTCATATAGAAAGACAATATAAAGACATTTTAGATCAACAAGAAAAAGCTGTGGGAACCCATCATCAGGATACTCACATTACGAGATATGCTACTTTTTTTAGGCTAGAGAGAAATGATGTCAGAAACTCAGAACTAAACGAAGGAATTAAGAGTGCCAGAACTGGTAAACATGTGGGCACATATGAATGATCATCATCTTTTCCTTTTCTTAATTTTTTTATGACATAATTTACTGTTAAAAGCAAAAATAAGAACAATGTATTATGGGGTGTATAACATAGAAAGTGAAATGTATTATGATGATACACAAAGAGTGGGAAAGAGTAAGTGGAAATATAAGACTTTCATATTATGTGTGAAGCAATACAATATTAATTGAAAGCAACTGTGCTATGTTAAAAGTGCACATCGTAATGACTAGGGCAACCCCTTAAGACAAACCAAAGAAGTACAGTTTAAAAGTTACTAGGGACATAAAATGGAATACTAAAAACTATTCAATCTGAAAGAAGGCAGGAGAAGCGGGACAAAGAATGGATGGGACGAGCAGCAAACAAGGACAAGAATGTACTCAAATCCCACCACAGCAATGATCATGTCAAATGTAAAGGGACCGGCCAAGCAAGACCCAGCAATATTTAAGAAGGTCACACTTTAAATATAAAGACAAAGACAGGTGAAAAGTAAAAGAATGGAAAAGGTTATACCATGCAAAAAGTAAAAGAACACAAGAGCAGCAATATTAAATCAGATGAAGTAGACTTTAGGAAGAGGAATATTGCTAGGCATAAAGAGACATTTCATAATGATAAGTTCATCATGAAGACAACAAATCTCGTGTTTATGCAACTGATAACAAAATAAAGAATTAAGAGAACTAAAGGGAGACAAAGACAAAAATAATCAGAGATTTTGACATTCTTCTCTCAGTAACTGACACGATCAGACAAAAATTCATCAAAGATATAGCTTTGAACAACTATTAACCAACTTAACTCAGCTGACATTTATAGAACATTACAGAATGTGCCGTCTTTAAAATTAATTTTTATTTTGAGAGAATTTGACATAATTTTACATATAAATCTATTTTGAGACAGGTTCACATGCAGTTACAAGAACTAAATGCAGATCCTATGTGCTCTCTCCTGGGGGCAAAGCAGTTTTGATTGGGGGCATGGGGAAACTTTCTGAGACGGTACAAATACTCTCCATACTGATTTGATTCGATGGTGTATACATACTTCAAAATAGAAGTATACACTTTCTCAAGTGTTTTATCCTATGGTTTTTGAAATGTAATCTTTTCCCAGGACGAAGAATCCCATCAGTTTTTGATAAATGTCAGGAAGTGAGGAGTTCTAGAAAATTGGAATGCAGAAATAACTCTTTAAATAATTAGATCATTACTTCTTCCATGTTTCTCTAAGTAACTCTGCAGTTCATTTCAATCCTAGAAAATATAGTGTCTGAATTAGCTGAGGAAACTGGGATTGTAAACAGCTGAGAACTATTGTGACAGATCACGAGGCAAGTAAATTCAAGAGGTAAGTTTCAAATCCTGTAACCATCTAGTTTCAGGACCCAAGTTCTTCTTACCTAAAACTCTTCTGTTCTCAAATAAGGTTTCCTCTTCAATAGTCTCCTTTTCCTTTGACTCACCAATTTTCCTTCCGTCTCACCTATCCTGCCACCAGGCAGTGAGGACACCCGTTTCCGACACCCCGTTGTATCGGCCCAGGCTACCTGCTGCACCGTGTGTCTGACCATTTCTTCTCTTCCCTGACCATTTCTTCTCTTGGCTGCAGTTTGACCTCAGCTGCCAATACTCTGCGGGTCGCCTCATGAAGTTCAAGGGTAGTATGTGTAGCTCACTAAGAATGTCAGAACTTTCTTCTCATTTACAAAGTTTGTTTTTCAGTATGAAAATAAATAAATAAATAAATAAATGAATAAATAAGGTTTATCTTGGATCCCAAGTAGTATCTGTTGGTTTTTAGAGGCTAGAAGGATATCGTTCATTTTGCTTTCTTTACAGAAATTAGAACAGTGTTAGATCTAGATATTGGTTAGTAACAAGAGTTACATGGAGGAAGGTATAACTCATACTATGAGCAGATAAATTGCTACCACTATGGCCCCGTTTTATGCACAAGAGCAATGTGCCTTGAGCTCCCTAGATTGGATCTGTTAGCCTCAAAGACCTCCCACTCCAAAAATATGGGAGCAAGGTACAGCTTTAAAAATAAAGAATCGGCTCTGGCTGATGTGGCTCAGTGGATTGAGTACCAGCCTGTGAACCAAAGGGTCTCTGGTTCAATTCCCAGTCAGGCCACATGCCTGGGTTGCAGGCCAGGTCCGCAGTAGGGGATGCACAAGAGACAACAACACACTGATGTTTCTCCCCATCTCTTCTCCTCTCTCTATAAATAAATAAAATCTTAAAAATCAAAAAACAAAGAAGCCTATCCAAAAAAATGAGCAGAAACTCTGGCCCACCTGGGATTCTGCTGTTCGAGCCCCAGACGTCCTTTCATCCTTCAAATGTTCTCCCTGGGTCTCACCAGCATCCTGAGGTAGCAGAGCTGGAGAGGGAAAAGAGTCATGAGGTTTGCATCTCCCTAAACCCCCCAACTGAAGAGCTGCCTGCAGACCTGCTGAACAGGCTCCTCTCTCAATACAGTCACAAAGAGAGACATTCAGAAGGACTCAGGTGCACACTGGAGCCTCATCAATGAGGAGGACCTGCAGGTGTTGTTTTGGGCATTAGTATTTCCCAGTGGTTGGTCCAAATGCACAGATCTACCAAGACGCTCCTTTGTTCAAAGGTGTGCAACAAGAAACAAAGTTCAGCCATTCCCCATGGACTTCAAGACACTCTACAGTCTACCTGAAGCATATGTGTCCAGCACTGGCTTCCTCTAATCACCATCCTTAAGTTGGACACAAACATCGACTTCAGTTAGGCTACAACAGTCTTCATTTTCTGAACCTGCTGCAAAAAAACTTGGATATCTTTCAAGGCCCAATTCAATGCTGCCTGCTTTGTGAAAATTTCTCTGATAAGTACAATTGGGAAAATATTTCCTAGCTCTTGTCTTCCAAAAGAACTTTACCATAGCATTTTCCTAGGTTACCTTCTACTGTTTTAATCTGGGTTTGTGTCTATCTCCACCAATTAATAATCAGCATTAGAGATCGGTATTCTATTTTCTATCTCTCAAGATGCTTGGTAAAGCTCCTACCTGACACAGCTAGCATACAATAAATATTTGGCTGAATTTAAAGTGTTAAAGGTATGAATTAAGAGACCACATGAAACACAAGAATTCCTCTATCCACCCATCACTCCTGACCAGAGCACTAAATAATGTGTAATCTTGGACATTTTCCCACCAAACCCATATATTGCAAGGTAAAGTGAGAGTAATCAAGCACATCATTCCTTCCTCTTAGCAGAAGATGAAATGAAAGAAGTGATACTGGTTTGGGGCTAAAATGACTAAAACCTGTGGAGGAAAACCACTGGAGGGTTTAAGGGTGCAAACAGCTTTGACTTTGCTGTCACATGTCCACACTCAGGAGCCGCTGATGGGGAACATCCTACGTTGAGTGTAGTATCTGAGGACAGGAGACAGGAGAGCATGGGGCAGCACAGAGCGCATGTCAGCAAGGAGCCTGACAATATTCTGTGGGGAGCACAATATTAAGTACCAGCTCCTTGGGAGGCAGCCGGCTGAGCAGGTTTGAGTGCACACCCCCACATTCTTCTAGAGGAGCAAAAAGGCAGGAGAAGAGGGATCCAGAAGCACCCACCAATCATACAGCCAGAACTCTCACAGCTATCCCCTTCCCAAAAGCCACAAGCATGAACCCCAGAGACCTGCTCTCCCCCAATTTTCTCTCCATGAGACCAGAACAATGAAGTGTGCCTATCTTTTAACACACAAATGAGAATTCCACTTTCTCCTTCCATCCCCACCTCCATCAGTCTGTTCTCACCTTCTCCTTCAAACATCTTAGTCACGTCCTCCCACAGGGGCGCCCCCTCCTGGGCCTTCTTTGGATGGTGCAGCTTCACCCAGGCGCTGGCCCCGGTGGGCAGGGTGATCAGGAGCTGCTGCAGCATGATGACGGCTGCCTAGCGGGGGCTGTCTTCCTGTGCTGGGGAAACGGCCAGACCTCTGCTGGGAGGATTCACGGCTGCCTGGTCCTCCTCTGATCACAGCCTCCCGCCCTCAGGCATATCCTGCGGCACCAGAACCTGGGGGCTCCTAGAGGCTGAGGTGACTTTAACAACCCTGAAAACCTGACTCTGCTCTTAAATTAAGTACCGCCTTGTTGGGAGGCAGCGGTTGGGTAGGTTTCAGGGCATGCCTCTCTCTTCTTCTAGCAGAGTGCACGGCAGGAGAGGAGGGATCCAGGAGCACCCTCATACAGCCAGCACTCCAGAGCTTGCAAAAATATGTTTAAAACTGCAAAAGATCCAAAAACAAAGATTTGGCATCAATGTGGGAATAAGTACAACCAATGCTCTTGGGTGCAGCTCTGTCTCCCAGTTCCATACACACACACACAAAAAGCCAAAAGCACACAGACACCCACCGACCCTGCCTTGACCTCCCTCCTTATAAGCTGCATGTACCTTCTGCCTGGACACAGATTTGAAAGAGGGCAGGCTTTAAAATCAGACAGCCTGGGTTAGAGTCCTGATTCTTGCACTTAAAAGCTCTAAGGCACTTCAACTATCTGGGCTTCAGTCTCTTCACCTATAAAATAGAAATAATAATTGTACTTCATAGCATTGTAATGTTGATTAATTGAGACAATGTCAGGCACACCATAAAACTTTAATGAACATTATTATAAATGTTTTGCTTTAATGCTGTATCATAGCATTGTCTTTTTATTTAAAAAACAAAACAAAACTATGAGCCCTGGCTGGTGTGGCTCAGTGGATTGAGCGCTGGCCTGCCAACTGAAGGGTCACCAGTTCGATTGCAGGTCAGGGCACATGCCTGGGAAGCAGGCCAGGTCGCCAGTAGGGGGCACTCAAGGGGCAACCACACACTGATGTTTCTCTTTTCCTTCCCCCTTCCCCTGTCTCTAAAAATAAATAAATAAAACCTTTAAAAAACCAAAAATAAAAAAACAATGAATCTCAATTTAAAGTTCATTTCAAGTATCTCAACTGATGGAATAATCACGTAGCTGTATTTTCTTCACATAGACAAGCAGTGACAGACACGTCATTACCCACATGGATGCCTAGCACCTGGCAAGCTCTTTTAACCTCTCTGTTAAGATGTATCCTGGTTTCAAAAATGTTAAAACTGAGGGAGAGGAGTATGCCTAAAAATGGAGGAAATTTAGTACTTGGGGTATAATGAAGACTACTATAGAACTGTTTGTAATAGGCAATGCGGGGAGGAAAAAACCTCAAATCCATCGCCTATCTCATCTGACCCCATGACATCTGGGCAGGTAGTGCTCTCCACAGTGACCAGTTCAGTGTATCTGGGGCCCCCAAATCAGTCCCATCTCCGTAGAAAGAAGGCTGGCCCAACTTTATGAAGTTTGTGGGGAAGGTAATGCGTTTTATGGGCATTTTTGTTTCATCTGTGAGTGATACAGAGAAAGGGGGCTACCTCCTAACCAACTGAAGAGTGTTGGAAATATTCTGCTTCTTAATATATAAAAAGTAAATGTCTTGTTACCAAAGTGGAGAAATTTATGAAACGGTTAATGACAGAGAAGCTTCCTTTCGAAGGTACCCCTTCTCCCTGCTCGCAGACCTGCCTCCCTCAGACTTCAAGGCTGACGACGCCAGCACTGTGGCTTCCTACTCACCAGATCGGCGGTGGACGCTGGTGGGGCCAGAGATAGGGGCGTGAGCGCCCGCTCTTGAGGCTTTCAGCTCCAGGTGTTTCTTTAGGGGAGGACTGGTAACAGATTTTATTCTTTTCCAGCCTTCTACTGACCACAGCCCCACTCAAAATACGCCCAACGTTCACACCGGCCTCCAGACTGGAAGTGGGTCTTCTCGAAATTCCCCAGCATGGGCGGCCCAGGGCGGGTTACTGCCACTCCTGATAAACCCTAACCCTCCCGCAGGGCCTTTCGCAACAGCACAGCGAGGCGGGGAGCAGCGATGGGAGGGATTCCCTGAACCCGCTTTCCGCGGGTACACCTAGACCAGGATACACCTCGCTGGCTGCAGCTTTAGTGTCTGGGCAGCGGCAGCGGCCAGGTCAACGAGCGCGCGGCCTCTTGGGCCGCAACCTGGAGTCTTCTAGCGCCCCTGCTTCAAGGCGCTTCCCCACGGTTGCCTGTGCCACGGGTCGCCCTAGCCCGCGGCCCAGTGGAGCCCGGGGTGCGGCTCACCCAGGCGGGCGCACTCCCCTCCAGCACAGCACCAGCTAGTCTTCCGGAGGGCTCCACCCGCCCGCTGCTGGCTCCGCCCACGAGGTCGGCGGGGAGCCCGCCGGCTCGAAGAATGTGGGGCGCGAGTGAAGACCCGGAACCCGGATTTAGTGGAGCGCGCCCCCCATCACACCCCCTCCCCCCCAGACCACCCAGACCCTTGGGCGGGGACCTGCCGCGTTTCCTGGTAGTGGTTGGGAGCGACCACGTGCACTGACAGCTCTTCCGGTGGAGTAGCCCCTTCTCTGTCATTCACTAATTCATTCACCAACTACCTCCTTAGTGCCCACAACCTGCCATGCATTGATTGTTACAGGATCAGAGGATACAACAGTTATCCAAAAGTGGGTATCCACTTATCAAAATGCAGTCCCTCCTTTCTTGGATGTGAATTCCGGTGAGATTAAGTAGGTAAGTAGAAGAATAGATAACATCCCAGGAGATTATAAGGGCTGTGAGGAAAAGGGAAGCAGTGTATAGAGTGGGGGGTAGAGGATATCTGGAGCTCCTACCTCTGGTCATCGTGGGCTAGGATATTTATGTCAACCCACGTCAGAAAACAATACGAATAAAAAGAAAAAGTCTGCTATATATATATATATATATATATAAATGATTTTAAAGGTGTGTATTAGTTTACTAGGGCTGTCATACAGTACCACTAACTGGGTGGCTTAAATGACAGAAATGTATTTTCTCAGTTGTGGAGGCCAAAAGTCCAGGGTCCAGGTGTCAGCAGAGCTGATTTCTCCGGAGACCTTTCTTCCTGGCTGCAAGTTGCTGCCTTCACCACCTGTCCAAAAGGCATCCTTCCGCTGTGTGCTTGCACACCCCTGCTGAGTCTCCGTCCAAATTTCCTCCTATAAGGATGCCAGTCAGATTGGTTTAGAGCACAACCTACTGCCTCATTTTAACTCAATTATCTCTTTAAAGTGATTAAGTTCAATCACCAAAATATGTGGTAAATACAGTCATATTCTGAAGTCCTGGGGGCTAGGGTTTCAACATTTGAATTTTGGGGATACATAATTTGGCCCATAACTAAGAGATGGCAAGATATAGGATTACCAGACCAAAAGCTGGAAAGCAAGGATCCAGAAAGGTAATCCAGCTGGGAACATTGGAAGATGCTTTTGCCCTGAGACATTTGCCCAGCTGAAAAATTATGATCTTCCTTTTGCACTTCAAAGAATGAATGAATGGATGAACGACGTGTAGGGAATGAAATAGAAGGCCCATTGTACAATAACTGTGACCCCAAAGGGTTGCACACTTAGGGTGAGAGTGAATTGGAAGTGGAACAGCTTGAAAAGAATTTACAGGCTGGGGTGAAATTGCCTGTCTCAGCCTTGGCCTTGGTTTTAGGTGGTCTCTGACTGTGACGCCACCAGATGCCGGGCAAAGGCAAACACAAATCCTCCCTGGAAGGAAGCATTATAACTATAGGCCTTATACTGTTTTTACAGATCAGTTTTCAGAGAAATGTGAAGTACAGAATTAAAGATAAGCAGATATGCAAGAAAGCTAGAGTCTTTGGGTGAGTTTTTCAGCAGAAACATAAATAACAGAAATAAACATGTAAAAATGATTTTTAAAAAAAAACAGTTTCTTTTGGAATTATCAGATGCAAACTATAAAATGATTAATATTTTTTGGTTTAAAGAAATAAAATATAACTCAGATGGTTTTGCCAAGTACCTGGAAACTATAAAAAGTGATAAAGCAGATATTTAAAAAAGAACTAAAGAAAAATTCTACCATAATAAAATTAAGAATTCAGTGGATGGTATAACAGGTTAGACATAGCTGTATAGAGACTAAATGGAATGGAAGTAGGTAAGAAGACATTATCTAGAGTGAAGTACTAAGAAACAAAAGGATGGAATATACAGAAGAGAGGACGAGAGATATACATGATACACTGAAAAGATCTAGCATAAGTTGAAGTACAGAAAAGCTAGGGCGGAGATAGTATTTGAAGAGAGAACAACTTTATATTCTTCAGTACCTATGAACGCAACCAGATTACAGATATAAGAACTCACAAAACTCTCTTGATGCAGACTCCAGCCTAAGGGGTCTGTGTGTTGTGGCTGTGATAAACAAATCCACATGAACTACAGAAGTCCTGTGGAGAAAAAGGGACAGCATGGGCACTCTCTAAGTGAGAGAGAGGGCCTCAAACCCTGCCTGGACAAGCTTTTATTGCTTTATATCAAGGACGGTCCTCATTTACTATGCACAGGTTTACTGTAGGTGATTACCTTTTACAGATAACAAAGGAAAAAATGTTGCTAATCACTTCAAAGAGAAGGATGTTGCAGATCAAGGGGAAAAGTGGTTGATCTGGTTACACTCCATACTTGGGAAGTTTAGCACAGACTTTAGGAAGCTACTTTAAAGATATGCAGTAAACATTTTCTGCCTCAGTTCAGGGTGAGGAATTTTAGAAAAAGCAAGCCTCAAAGCAGCCTAGGTACAATGCAGGCCTGATTCCCCACAGGAGAACCGATCTGTGGGCTGGGCTCCTGTGTGCTGATTCGCTCCCTGTTGGTTTTCCAAATCAGGGGCTGGGCTACATTTACCATGCCACATGGATAGGTTCCCTATACTCCCTAACAGGATAAATGAAAAAAAAAATCTAAACCTAGACACATTATAGTAAAACAAACAAACAAACCTAAGGATAGGATGAAAATCTTAAAAGTGGCCAGGGTTTTAAAATATACCCATTCCTCCCTCTGATAGGTGGAGACTAATTCTTCTCCCCTTGAACATGAGGCAAACTCACTTCTAAAGAACAAAATGTGGTAGAAGTGACAGCATATAATTTCAGAAGCTAAGCCATGAAAGACATTTCCACTTCGGCCTTGCACACTCTTATTTTACTTATTTCCTTGCACACTGATTGCTGCTGTGAGGAAAGCCAGCTGAGTAGCCAGTATCAACTTGCCAGCCATGGTGGTGAGCCACCTTCAGATGACTCCAACCTCAGCCAACATGTTGGCTCACCCCGTGTGGGGGCGACTTCTTCTCAAGTCCCCCCAGTGCCACAGACACGTGTGAATGAATAAATATATGGCCAAGACAAGATGATATTGTTTGGGGAGGAGGAGTGGGCTGTGGCAAGTTTCTCAGGGGAGACAAAGGCCAGCAGCGGCCAGTTTCTCCGAGGAGAAAAAGGCCCAGAGTGCCCTCTTCCATAGCCTTTTATTGGGTTGTAATACACAGGAATACAGGGAGGCAACAATCAAACAGTAGATAACATTACAAAGAGATCTGAGGGCTTCAGAGTCTGAGTCAGTGTCTGTCAGGAAGAGAGTTGCAGAAACTTTGGGAGACATACTCATTTCCTCTCGGACCCTTATCGTATGAATGAAAGCACTCTCAGCAGAGCAGATTTCACAGGTTTATCAGGAAGTCTTTGTGATGCCAGACTGTCCCCCAGGACACGCCCTAGCAAGGCAAGGAGCTGGACCCCTCCCCATCAGGTATTCAGGCTTAAGGGGATTAGAGCCAGGAAGCGCTTCTCCCAGAGGACATGGGGACTCGGGCTTTGACAAAGCTGGGGTGGTGGTGAGAGTCCATTGCTCTTTGTTGCAGCCCCCGAGTCCTTCCATGAGGGCCTCCCAAGTGATCAAGTCTGGCTTAGGTTGCCCCCCACTGTGAGGGGTCTTGCCCTCATTGACTTCCGACCAAGCTTTGGGGGCAGGGAGAGGAACTGAGGCAGCGTTTGCTGCCAGAGACAGGCTTCGTCTCCCTCAGCTGGCATTCCAAAGGTTGTCTCTCGCCCTTAGCCACAAGGGGTAGAGATACAATTCCTAAAATCAGGCAGAGCAGTCTACAACAACCCCGAGCCAGAACCTCCCATCTGAGCAGCTCTGAATTACTGACCCATGAAAAACGTGATATTCAAAAATATTTCTTTTTAAGCCATTAAGTGTTAGAGATCTTGTTTAGCAATTGCTGACTAATACAGGGGCAAAATTTGATAACTCGCACAAGAGGCATTCTGACAACCAACTTATCACCAGTGATGATGGAAGCCAGAAGACAGTGCAATAAAATCGTCAGTGTTTTGTGACAAAGGAATTGACAACCAAGATTATTCAATGCGGAGTTTACAAAAATCTTTCAAGAATAAAGGCAAAACAAAGACATTTTCAGACAAAGACTGAGAGAATTTGTCACCAGCAGAGTATATTAAAGGAAATCCTCAAGGCTGAACTTCAGGCAGAAAAAAAAAATGTTCCAGATGAAATGACAAAGATGCAAAAAGGAAGCAAAAAACAAAAGAAAGCAGAAAACTTGTGCCTAAATCTAAATGAGTTTTAATGATGTAGACTAAAAAACTTTTTTTAGTCTAATTTGTGAGGTTTTAAAAAAGATTTTATTTAATTCTAGATGGAAGGGAGAGGAGGGAGAAAGAGGAGAGAAACATCAATGTGTGGCTGTCTCTCACGTGCCCCCTACTGGCCACCTGGCCCACATCCAAGGCATGTGTCCTGACTGGGAATCGAACCAGCAACCCTTTAGTTCACAGGCTGGCACTCAATCCACTGAGCCACACCAGCCAGGGCATGAGATTTAAAAAATAGGGTTAACATACCCAAGATCAGGTCAGGAAGGGGGTGGAGTTAAAGTAGACTAAGTTAAAATATAACACTTCAAGTGTTAACTAAGTAAAAGTACTCTAAAGACTATCTTGGAGGAGGGTAGAGGTATTCATTAACATTAAACCTTGACAAGTAAAAAAACATTGTTGGCTGGAATACTTATGTTACTCAATATGAAAACCTACAAAAAGTTATAGTATTAAGACAATGAGGTAGCTATTGGTACAAGAATAGGTCAATTGAACAATGGGATAGACTAAGAGTACAGATGTAGACACACACATCAACTGTCACCTCATTTATGACAAAGGTGGGGGAAATGAAGGCCTTTTTAATAAATTAGCACTGGGTCATTTGGATATTTATACTGACCTTACTTTACAACATACACAAAAATCAGTCCAGGTGGTTTCAGTTCTAAATGCAATAGGTTAAACAAACAA